TGAAATGAACGTTGGGATAAGGAACATGAAAGAAAGTATAACTCTTTTGGGGAGGATATTGTACGAAAACAAACAAATCCGAATCCTAGCATCAGAAGACTTCAAGAAAGCAGACTTTGGGCCACAGAAGTGCCTCTTGGAACGGACAGAACAGCAAACAGACTGATGAGTGCAACAACAGGAGTATTGATGTGGGTTGGGGGTGGGGGGGGGAGTGGACAGAAAGTAGAGATGGGACCAGGTAGTTAAATATGAGTTCAAAGAAACATCCTAGTTGCAAATAAATTTGCCCTGAGATGGTTGAGGGAGAGGAGAGGTAAGGATGACCAAGGAGTGATAAGGAAAATACACATTTTCAAATACACTGGCCCAAAGGAAAGCTTAGAATTCCTGCCCCTTTGTCCATGATAAATAAAAGCAAATGATGAAAGACATTGGCAAGGTAGAGGATTTTAAATGACGTTCTATTCTTTGTCATTGAAATATAAATTAAATATGGGTATATCACTGGAATGAGTCCCAGTTTTGATGAAAGGCTGTGAAACTAAACTAAAATAAACAAAGAAGTAGGTCAAGAGTCACCAGGAAAGCATGGCTGTTTCTTTCAGTAAGGCTTTCTGGAGCGTTGCCCGCAGAATTGAAAAGTGCATTTTGAGACCTATTAGGTGGTGCTTTTGAGAAATACTGAAACAGCGGTTTTCAGAGTGTGGTCCTGGAACACCCGGTGGGGGCAGGGTGGGGTCCCAAGACCCTTTTAGGGGTCTCGGAGATCGTAATTGTTTTCGTAATAACACAAAGATGCTATTGGCCTTTTTCAATCTCATTCTCTCATGAGAACACAGTGAAGTTTCCCAGAGACTACATGATGTGCAATATCACAAAAGATTGAATGCAGAAGCAGATGTGAAAATCCAGATGCCTTCTTTTAAGCCAGACATTAAAGACAGTTTCAGAAAATGTAAAACGATGCTACTCATCTCACTACTTTTTTTTTTTTTTTTTTGTATGGACAATAGGGCTTACCCTCCCCCAGAGTTATTTATGTTAAGATGTCAATTATTCTCATTAAATGAATTAGTTTTTTTCCCAATTTTAATAGCTAATAGGTATATCAATAGATATAACCTATATAGGCAAAAGCTCTTTGGGGGTCCTTGAAAGTTTTTAAGTGTATAAAGAGACCAGAATGCTCAAGAATGGCCCTCCGAGAGGATAAGTAATTTTTCTAAACATTAGAAGAGGGCAAAGGTGACCTTATTAAATTATGGGAGGGGCAGTTATTTATAGTCAGCAGTTTTACAGTGACCAGTGATACTAAGTTCCACACCCTCTTCATGGTTACCCAGGAGGGATTTCAGGAGGAGAATTCTCCCTTGATAACTCACAACAAAACATTCAAGGTTATTGGTATTCCTCCCATTTTGTAGGTAGGAAATGTTAGGGCTAGATAAGTCATGTGATTTTCCAGAATCCTAGAGGTAGTTATTATCCCCAGTTCCATATATTTGCATGTAATTTCTCTGACTGCATTGGTACTAGAATGAGTCATCAGTCAACTTGCTTTCATTCGTCTAGCAGACCACAGCCTAAACGCATGGCACCATCCACCTCCCTGTGAAGAACAAGTTGTGTCAGACCAATTTAACGTTCTTTATGACAAAGTAAATAAGAGGCCTGAATGATCTAATTACATTTGAAATTCACTGACCAGGGGAAAAAACATCACAGAAACAGGATAAAATATACCTGGGAAAAATAGAACGAAACAAAGCCCCGCTTTTTTTTTTTTTCTTAGAAACACAGCATAAGAACATGCTAGCAAGAGGGAAAGAAAGGACATTCCATAAAGGCCCGTAACGGTCTCTTAAGTTACTATTTGCTGATCGTGTTAGCGCCCATGAAAAAAAGACATGGCGACGATGCTGTGACACGTGCGAGAGCATGAGGTTGCAACCAGCTGGAAGCCACTTCTATCAGAGGACACTGTCTAGATCTGTTGGTGGCTTTAGCTGGAAAAAGTGAGGAATGTGAGCATTTTTGAAGAGTGGCCCTGGGATGATTGACACATAGGATTCTGGAGGGTAAGTGAGGAAGAACAATTGTTTGCCAGTAAGTCAGGTGGAAGTGATGGGTAGTTGCCTGTGGTACAAACCGTATGTTCCTTTGATTTTAGCACCATGTGTTACCTTGGGTCTTTTGGAAATATAAAATATTTCTGCTCTGCACTTCATTATGTCTAGCAGATGTTACTTTATGTTCTTGAACCCAGTTTGCACAATGAACATGACATGGTATCAGATAACATAGTCCTGAAAACCAAAGAGAGGAAACTAGTTACCTGGCCTCTTACCAGGACAGTTTTAAGAAGGGCCACACTTTCAGCCATTGTCTGTATGGAGTTCAAATGTAGAGTGTACTAAGAAAAGAAGTGCCATGACGCATTTATTGACATAAACTGTAACTTAAAAAATGTTCCCCTACATTTTTAGAGAAAATGTAACCTACCTGGCATGCTAAGAAGGGTACCACTGAATGGTTTCCTCCTTCTCCTCCCCATCCTCTAATGTTTAAAAAAGAAAATGTTTTCTTCTAACATTTACCAATGATTTGAAAAAGGAAAAAAAAAAAAAAAAAAAAAAAAAAAAAAAAACCCTCTCCATTTCATGGGACTCCACGTTGTCGAGTTGTGGTAAAAAATATATTCAGCTTTGAATCTTATTAAAGTAAAAATACTGAGTCTATTCATTAGCACTAGGTGATTAGATTTTTGCTTTATGCATGTTTTGAAAGCAGGGCTTGATATAGAAGGTATATTTACGTAACAATGCTGTTGCTCAATGCCCTTGCATTTTTCTGCCCATGCTATCTTAATGGAAATTTACTGGAAAATTCTTGCCAGAATAAATACATTCTTTCAGAAGTGAAAAGCTTAATGTACTTTTAGTTCAACTGCACCTCTTTTCTGTGAGCAGATAAACCAAATTATTTGGCATTAGTCATTACACGTCACACATTCCACAGTATGTATTGTAGTCTCCCGTGGAACTAAGTGGTGCAGGAGATAGGAATAAGGTAGCGGATCTCATGTTATAATGAGAGAGAAAACAAAAACAAGGATAGGGCATCTACATATTTGACATGAAACAAACCAAACATGAATTTGGCAGACATCCTGTAAATGATTTTTAACTATCCTGGTAAAGCAGGATTATAGAACAGGACTTGGGGATAGGTTGAGCTGCTTGGGGATAGGTTGAAGTAAAAATTTATTTTTTTTTGTTTTTAAGAGAGAGATAGCTTTCACGTTCACATTTTAACTAAAGAATCAGGAGTAGAGACTCTAAAATGAGAACACTGAAGGTATGGCCACTGGGGCAAGGAAAGGGGACCAGGATGGGATGCAGGGATGTAAACAGGACGATTAGGGCAGGGAGGGAGGAAGTGCCCCTTGAATTAAGGGGTGGGAGAGGCAAACAATGGACAATGGAGACTGGAGGAAAGAGGTTCACACAACTATGTCCAGACTTCCTCCTGTTGGCCCTAGTCCTAATGCCCACCCATCACCGCTCCAGACTTGATACTGGGGAGATATTCGAGTGATTGTTCATTCATTACTGACATTATTAAAATGCATAATCAAGTCAGAACCATCTTCAAAGGCATAAAACTGGCCTGTTAGCATATTACAGTTAAGTAGTCAGTTCTATTGTATTTGTTTGTAGCAACAGGAAATTAAGTGTTTTGACTTTCTAAGAAACCAGTTGGAATTAAACTGCTAGGTAGAACTGATCAGAGTTTAGTGACCGTCTCCCTTATGTACTATTAAATCCTACTGTTGTAAATAATTATGGGAAAGGCCACTTTAAATGTGAAAATATTCACCTACTATTAAATAATTTTGTTTTATCATTCTTTTTAATTTCATATGTGAAATAAGAAAACCAATGTAGCAAAGTATTACTTCCTAACATTCTCTTGGGAGCTAACGGAGCAATTTGAAATTAGAATAACAAAACGCTAGTTCACCAATTATTGTTCCCACGTAAATTATATCTTCAAAAAATTTTTGAATATAAAGAGGAAGCACGATACCTTTAAAAACTTCCTTTTTAAAGTAATTAGGGTTTCCCCCCTGTAGCTCAATATAAAAAATTATAAAACAAAAAGTTAGTATTTCTATTATATATGGGATATATATACTTACTTATTATCAGGTCTTTTAATTCACTTTTAGTATCAGGTGGGATGTGACTTATAATGAAAAAAACGTAGTTAACTTGGAAGTTATAAAAATACCTTTAGTCAATTTATCCTTTTCTTGGTAGATAATATTTGAGATAAATGTTGAAGAGATAACTCCTAGCTATTCAGCATTGCCAATAAATGATTTTTTCCCCCAACAAATAAAGTTTCAGTGTATTTTAAACCACAGATCGGCCAAAGGTACATCTATAAGTGAAATTTGAACGTGGCTTTCTATAGTAGAATGTAACAGCAAACTTAGTATGTCATTCATCTGTTGGCTTTGGTTTCAACAATAAAAAAGGAAATTCATATGGTATGTCATGTATTGCAGATACTTGCTCTATAATGGCTGAGTTTTGTTTGCAGATATAAATAACAAATATGAAATACTGTATAGAATTGAATCTCAATAGCCTGTAGTCAAGATTCAACCTGTTGCTTTCTGAGAAACAAGTTTTAGGTTAGAAAGGAGTCTTAAAATAATTTACATGAAATGGAAATGGAAAAATGGTTTATTCTATTGTTGTTTGTTCTTTGCATACTTTTTCATAGAGAATGAAACTCTTTGTTTGCTCTACAGGCATATTAAAATTACTGGAATCTCAAGGTAAATAGCTTCAAAATATATATCTCTTTGGTTTTACTAAGGGGAACTTAAAGAGTTTCAAAATTCTTCAGTCAGTGCTCTGATGTTTTAGAAATTATACTACTTCCTCATCTGTTAAAATGAACCATGTTTTCTTTTGAATTTATAGTCACAAATATGGCCAGTACACTATGAACCAGGAAGTCACCAAAGTTTCGGAAAAACCTCCATATGACCGATCAAGTTCTCAGGATTCTTTGGATGAACTATCTATGGAGGACTATTGGACCGAACTAGAAAATATCAAGAAATCTAGTGAGAACAGACAAGATCAAGAGGTGGTGGTCGTCAAAGAGCCTGATGGTAATGACTAACTGAATAAAACTCTTGTTTGTGTATGTATTTATGAGAGATGGATACAGGAGAATGTAGAAGGAGAATAACAACAGCAACAAAAATTAAAGCTAGGACAGCCAAAATAAGATAATGCCAGTTGGCCTTTCAACTTGAAAAATTACTTGTTTGTAGCAGATTTATGGATGCAGCTGCCAAATTTAAATGGCAAGAACACATTCACTTAGTCTGAGATACGGCTGGAATCTTGTTGACTAGGCTTACGGCATCAGACATTCCTGGGGTGAGACTTGATCTTTGAAAGGATCTAAACTTCCTTTCTCTGATATTTTAGCTACACGGTCCCTTTTTCTCTAGTGAGATTAGATGCTTGTGGAAAGCTCACTATTTGCAGTGATCCTGTTTTTCCATTGGTCAGTCAGCTTGAGTTATTTTGATGTTCTTTATTTTATTGATTCACAATTTTCCATATTCTACCTAGTTTTGCCTTTTGGAAGAGCAGAACAAGCCTGTTCTGTTTTTACAGGATAGCCTTTCAAATAATTGAGGATGATTATCTTGTACCTCACCAAATCCTTCTAGAAGGAAAAAAAAAAAAAAGATTTACATACACCAGTCCTTCAGGTGATTTTCAGACCTTTCTCCGTGTCCGTCATCTTATCTTTCAAAGTATAGTACACCCGATTGGATATAATGCTGCAGGCTTAGCCAACTAACCTGAGGGTATGGGTTTGGACAATGTATGATGGCATTGGTGTTTTTAGCTTCCATATTGACTTCTTTCTTTTGTTGGTTTGTAATTTCTCTCCACTTTCTTTCCAGCCATGTTTCCCATAGTCTCCACTCCTATATTTGATATTCTAGAAGAAACATACACTTTTTTTTCCTCTTAAAATTCATGCTGTTTCTTTCAATCTCATGGAATCAAGCAGTCACCAAGGTTTTGATGACCAGGTCTGGCATCTTTTATAATAGCTCTCTTTCTATGCCTTGTGCCATCCATAAGTTTCTAAGTTTGTTTTTGGGGTGTCAGTTGATGCGGGTGCCAAAAAAGTAAGAGACAGTTAGTGCCTTCTGACCCACTCACAATGATCTCCTTTTCAACAGGATTTCTTAAGTCAGTGACTTAGCACTGAGTTGTTTAAGCAGCTGAATCTACCTACAGAGGTTTTTCTTTCCCCTTTGCTATAACATTGCTTGGAAAACCTACCAATAATACTTTAAAAAGAAAAATTGGAGATTTTTCTTTTGTTTTTTTAACGTTAGTTTATTTTTGAAGGAAAGAGGCACAGAGCATGAGCGGGGGAGGTGTAGAGAGAGAGGGAGACACAGAATCTGAAGCAGTCTCCAGGCTCTGAGCTGTCAGAACAGAGCCCAAGGCGGGGCTCAAACTCACAGACCGAGAGATCATGAACTGAGCTAAAGTTGGACGCTTAACTGACTGAGCCACCCAGGCGCCCCTGGAGATTTTTCTTAATTTAACATTTCTCAGATTTGTAAAATGATAACTCATTTTTGTTTTTGTGTTTTTGTTTGAGCTCTCTTTCATTTTACTCTCATTCTTTCTCACTTCACCAGTAAGGTTGAGCTTATTTGTGTTAATCAGTGGATCCCCCAACCTTTCTGTCTCCGTGTTTCAAGATGGAAGCAGCATACCAGTGGTCTGCTGAATAAGGAGAAAATATTCCACAGAAAATAGTAGTCAAGCCTGATATGTAGCTGTGTGTCATTATCTATTTCATAAATTTCCAAGATGAAAATGAATTTGCAGGTAGTTGTTCATAAGGTCATCATGAAGAAGAATTGAGAATGTTTCTACACGCCCGTGCCTTTTCTTTAACTTTAAATTGTTTTGACTTTTACCTCTAACTTTTAATGGACCAAGTGACACTGTATTTGAATCTTGTTTACTTATCATGTCGAGACCAGCTTTTTTCCCCTGCCAAATTGTTTTTATACATGGGTACTGAGTTCTGCATTAATGGCATTAATAATAATGGCTGGCTTTTTATGTCAGTGAACAGTTTTTATTGCCTGGCAATACACAATACCTGGCACTACATTCTGTTTCTTGAAACCAAGGATGTTGACACTTGATTTCTGCCCTCAAGGAGTTCATAGGATGTAGAAGGGTAGATGGGCTATCATAGAGCTTTGCAAAGCTCTTCCCATGTAGCTAGCATTCTCTCATTTGGTTATGAGGCAGCCAGGACTGCTGTGCTTTAGGTGACAGATGAGAAAACAGAGTTGACTTGAAGCTATGTGACTTGTCCAAAGGGACGTGGCTACCAAGGTGGAGAAATGGAGTGTAGATGAAGGTCTTTCGTCTCTCAAGTCGTTGGTCTTTCATTTTCCTCTATAAACTTAGCCCTGGGAGGGAATCTATTCTACTTCTCTTTCTGGTTTTTTTGTTTGTTTGTTTGTTTGTTTGTTTGTTTGTTTTTTGTAATTTTTATATATCTTAATACTGTTTACTTTCTGCTTTCAGCGTTTTGAATTGATTATTAGGTAATTAGTTTCCTATCATCTTTTTTATCCCCTTAAAATAGTGTTTCTTTTTTAATTTGCGAAAAAAAAAATCTGATGTGCTTACCAGGGGGATTAAAACCTTAAATTTAAAATTGCTTGGTTCCTGATGTCTGGATGCTCTCCTTCTTTGCTATACTCCATGTCAGCTACAGCGAACAGAAAAAAAACAGCCTTTCCATCAATTAGTGTTGGACTCTGGGGCAGTGCTGAATTTAAGCCAAGAAACGGGCTTTAATGGATATCCCCAGCATTGCCTTCCTTCTGTAACTTGATGGAAGTAAGTTATCTTTTCATTGCTTGCTCATCTCTGGAAAGAGAACAGTATTATCCTCCTCTGGTTAATCTGCAGAGAAGTGATCGAGGTTAATCACATGTGAAGTCATTTAAAATTTTTAATTGAGTATATATGAAATGGATCTAAAATTTGATATCTTTGTGGCTGAAGTTGATGGCAGTTGTCCAAGTTTCAGATAATGATTCTTAGTGCTGTGGTTTGATTTCTGTGGAAGAATGTCAGTAAGCGTGTTTGAGGAGCTTAAAAAATGTAAAAGTTATCATATTTTGTGACCTTAAATGCCATTTTTCTCTACCGTCTTAGAGGGAGAACTGGAAGAAGAGTGGCTTAAGGAGGCTGGTTTATCCAATCTCTTTGGAGAGTCGGCTGGAGATCCCCAAGAAAGCATGGTGTTTTTGTCAACACTGACCCGGACCCAGGCAGCAGCTGTTCAAAAACGGGTAGAGACGGTCTCCCAGACCTTGAGGAAAAAAAACAAACAGTACCAGATTCCTGACGTCAGAGACATATTTGCTCAACAGACAGAGTCCAAAGAAAAAGTAGGTTTTCTTTTTTGATGTTAAAACAAAGGAATAATTGCTTTGAATTGACTGACCCAATCCAGTTTCATTCAAATCATTAAAAACTTAGGGAGTGCGTATATGCTAGGCATGAAGGCTCTGTGCTGGCAGTGATCAAGAGAGACCTGGTCCTTGTCCTTCTAGGAGTCATACTGCTGGGGCAGAAAATTGTAAACAAGTTAACATTCAGTGCGAAAATCCTTGTGTTAGGTGTCCTTGCAGCATCAGGAATAGCCCTGACCCCTCAGACAATGTGACTGCCAGTTGTTACTTACAGAAAAGTAGGAGGTAAGGGATTCTTCCTTATCTATTAACTCTTGCAGGAATATGTGCTTTTCCCCAGCCTCATTTGGGGATGAATTGAAGTGGAGGGTGAGGGAGCTAACTGCAGTGTGATTAGAAAGCAAGACCCCTGAAACATGAAATAACTTCCTCTTTGTATCTAGTGCTTAACACAACACCCAGCACGCAGATTTGAGTAAATGTCTGTCAAGCTGATGAATTTATTATGGAAGCTGTTGGAATCTGGGTGAGAATGTGGGACTGATGAATGAAGAGCTATCAGGGGAGGCATGGGGACCGTGAGAGACCTCTGTGGCCTCGAGCAGCAGCCCATTGGGGGGCTGTTTTTCACTCATCCAGGAGGACCTAAGGAGCTTGCACAAGTGACAAATTAATATCATCTATTCCTTAATCAGGAAAATCTTGCTTTATAAAAAGAAAAAAAGTCACCTGAGCTAAATGATGTTCTTAGGGTTAAAGCTGATTTACACTCTGGATTATTTTTAGGTGTCACCGAATAGTCCTGGTCTTAGAAGACCCAGGGGGGTTGTCGGAATGAAGACACACGAAAGGAATCTCGAACACTGACGATAATAGTAATAATTGCTGCCACCACTGCTGAACACTTACTGTGCTAACTACTTTCCTTCTTTCATTTAATCCTTACAGCTTGTCCTGTGAGTGAGGTACTACCATTTCCATTCCGTGGCTGAGACTCATAGGCTTTAAGTAACTTGCTCAATGTCCCGTAGATAGTAAACCCAAATTGGTGTGGCTTCGAAGCATGTGCTTTTAACCGCTACGTATCCTGCTGTATTTGGGTTTCCGTATATGATTCTGTTATCAAGTAACCCGAACATGAGATTCTATTTATACTACAAATAAAGGGTAAAAAAAAAAAAATCCTACGATTCTAAACAAAAACAGGTACCTTGTAGTTATGGTATCTTTCTGTCACGTAGGGAGGTTTTTTTGTTTGTTTTGTTTTGTTTTGTTTTTTGTTTCGCTTTTTGTAGACATTTTATTCTCCCAAGACATCCTTAACAGTTCCGATTGTTACTCTATTTGCCTGGACAATTGTGGATCAAATCCAGTCTGTTTGGTAGGAGTTTTGGGGGCACTGGATTGTTCCAGGCAGGTCCCTTGCTGCTGTGAGGCAGTTAAACACTTGCTTACCACCCACTGGTTATTTGAGACAGCCACTGGAGTTGAAGGACTGGACTAGGTTTCCAGCTGTAGGAAAATGAGTGGTAAGGAAATATGGTATTATGATATTTCCTTCCCAATTAAAGAACCCTCCCTAGGGGAGTTAAGAGGAAATAAAAAGGGGGAGGGGGAAAGAATGGGTTCTAAGCAAAATATATGTTCTGTGGGATTCCTGCCAGTCTCCAAGAGGATGTTGCTACTTGGTGCCGGAAGCAGCATATTCCCAGCAAATTCCTGGTAATATCGAAGCCACATGGTTTGAGTCCATAGTAATTGGTGGGTTGTATCATCTGATGGCATCATTAAGAGAGAAATAGCACAAGTAAATTAAAATAATGTTAACTTGCTTACATGGCATGCCTTTAATTGGAACACTGCCACCCATTAGAAATATGTCCCCCCTTCCTCAAGGAAACATGGCCCCGCCATCTTCATTTGCAATTCTTCTGTTCTCATAGAAGTACAAATTCAGCCCTTCCATTTTAAAATGCTTCCTCATGAAGCCCTTGCTGACACTAGGAAATAGAATACAGAAATGAATACCATCTGCACTGTTATCTTCACTTGCTAAGGAAAACAATTCTGACCACATGCTCCAAAATATGTGTTCATATGTAAGATTAGAATTATTCGCTGTGTTCATTGTGCTGTGGAGGGCTAACCTTCTGTAGGCTTGTTGGCGAAGAAAGGAGGAGGGTATTTGCTCTATCCTGAGGGGGACTGGAGTAGCGTCGTGACCCTTCTAGCCCTTGTGCGCTAGTCACTATACACTGTCCTGAGTACCTCTGATCTCTAAGAGGTGCACCAGTGGCTGCTACGTATCTGCCCTAGCGCTTTCCTAGACTCTTCTTAGATAGCAGGTGAAGGGGAGGAGATCTTCGTGGCTATCAGCCCGAGGCGAAATGTGTTTGAAAGGACTACAAAGGCTACCTTATCTGAACAGAGATGCAAATCCAACAGAATGGTTATTTTAAAAATGATTCGTTCAGATACACCTTTGTGTATGATTGATCTAGACTCCCCTCCTGATTCCTAAATTCCTTCTGAAGCTTTAATTGGAAGGAAGAAGTAGTACTCCCTGGCCACACTTCGCAGTGAAGGGAGCCAGCCATGTTCGACGGTGTCTATAAACCCTCGGAGGACTACAGCCTTCTGGCGTCACTGCCCTAATCCCTACGAAAAACCATTCCTTTGACTATCTGAGCTCGTATTATATTTAGTTTCGGTAATTTAGTTTTAATTTACCTCACATTTATTACTAGCTTTCTTTTTTTTTTTTAATTTGAACAATTTCTATTGTCACCTACATGTCAACTTGTAATTTTGTTTTCTAACAGTGTTATCAGAATATAATTCATACACCATCTAATTCATCCTTTTAAAGTCTACAATTCAGTGATTTTTGGGATATTCACAGATTTACAACCATCACCGCAGTCATTTATAACACATTTTCATTATCCCCCAAAGAAAGCCCATTTAACAATCATTCCTATATTCCCCTCCTTACCCCTAAGCAACCACTAATCTACTTGTGTCTCTATGATTTGCCTTTTCTGAACATTTCTTAGGTAAGCATAGCTTGTAACTGGTTCCTTTTACTTTTTCAGCGTTCATTCACGTTGTAGCCTGTATCAGTACTCAAGTTCTTTTTATTGCTGAATTATATTTCATTGTGTGGATGGATCACACATTGTTTATCTACTCCTCTGTCACTGGATATTATCAGCTTTTTTTTTTTTTCGTTATGAGTTTGCCTTTTCCCTTCAACTAAGTAGTGGTGTGCTTGATGACAAGGACGCTCTTCGTGTTTTTCATATTCCCTATGGGGTTTAGTATTGTGTCTTACAAGTTGGTAAGTGGGTAATCAAATATTTGTTGGATGATTGCTTGTTGATTGTAACCGCAGTACTTTTTTTCTGTGGTTGTTGTAGTTCTGAGTATGTTTCCTATACTCTAAAGGTTAGTAATGGAATTATTTACAATACCATTTCTCTGGTTGTGAGTTGGAGATGACTAAATGGCCCACTTTCTATCTTTAGGCTCCAGATGGCACTGAATCACAGTCAGTCAGAACAAATGAAAACAAATATCAAGGAAAAGATGGTATGTTGGACCTGTTCTCTTGTATTTTCCTATTGATTAGCATAACAAACAGATATAACCTTTTAAAATATTCACCTTCAAATTCTAGTAAACAAATTTTATTAAAATGCTAATATATAAAGTGCCCACGTACGTAATTACATAAGGCTGAGAATATAGCGCCCATTGATTTTTTTTTTTCTAAATGTTAGTGTATCTCTGTTCTACATCTCTGTGCATAATCCGTTTTCCTGAATGCTTACCATGTGCCAGGTACCTTGTGAAGATGTTTACCTAATTTATTATTCTCAAGAACTTTGTGTAGTGGGTACTGTTCTTGACCCATTTTACAGATGACAGAACTGATGTTTGCAAATGTGAAGTCACTTTCCCAAGGCCATACGGCTAGTCAGTGGAGCCAATGAACTTGGGGTCCTGTTCTGAAATCATAAATTCTCAATTCATAAATGGATTCCTTTTCAGAAAGTTTATAAAGACTTAAAAGTTAGGATTTTGGGGGAGCAATTCATTATAATCCTCTCCTATTCCTACTTTTTCTCTTCTATACCTGTTATTTCAGAAATGGATTAGAATTCCATGGCATGGATGAAAATAAATGGTAAGCTTCATTGGCGCTTAATCAGGGAAGAATTTATAGCTTTTTTCACTTATTTGCAAAAAGAAAAAAATATTCTAAATTAAGCTTAAACATTTAATCCTTACCGGGTTGTTTAAAAACTTTAACAGAGGTGGTCTGTGGCTGCCAGATTCCAGCCCAGGGACTTATCCTTTTGTTTTGTTTATGTTTTTAAGAGTGTTAATGCCACTAATAGTGTTGTATTTGGACTGGAAGCAGTAGGGGAGGAGTATCAGGTAGACTGTGGAGGACTGGGAAGTGTTCCCAACCTCATCACAATCAGGTCAGTCCCAGATTATAAGGGATATTTTGGAGTCTTGGAACAGCCAGTATCTCCATTTTTCTTTCCGTACTTTTCTCAGAACTTCTGTCCTGTGCCCCTGCCTTTCAAAATAAATGAATAGGTAAATAAGTGTGTGCATGTGAGTGTGGATGGCCACATACATGTCTATATATTTATATCTGTAAAAGCACTTGCTGTTACGTGGAAATTTCTTTGGTTCTATTTTTTTTTAAATATCAGAATGATATCACTGAGTGTTTCCCCAAGTCTGTGTACCAGTAAACACTGAAGGGGCAAGCAAGCTAGAAATAGCTGGTGCTGGCCTGTCAGGGCACTAGGTCATTGAGAGAGACAGATGAACCTTTTAGGCCAATGCTGAGGATGCTTTGGGGAAGGGGGACTGGCCGTTGCTCAATGAACACTGAGGAAAACATTGTCTTTTCTTGATGGGTTCCCCCCCCTCACCAGAGGTGGTGATGTAGGCTATACAAACAGAAGTTCTGGAGGGCAAGTTCATTATATGAGTACTTCCCACCTTGCTTGCAGCAGCTGAGTAAAATGTGACCGACTTGCCTGAATTACAACTACTTTTGCTGGAATAGAGCCTCTGATCAGAATAATAAGACTGTATGTGTAATGTCATATGTGTAGCACCGTGTCACTGAGTATGTACCACTCCACCTGTTGTGAGCAATGCCACATTCTTTCGATAGACAGTAAATTAACCAGTTTTATGTAAACCTTGAAAGGTTCAGAATGAAATGCATGGAAAACATTGTCTGGAGTGTGAAAGTGGACCTCTTTCTGTTTGAAATCTGAAGGTGTGAGTGACATTTTCTATTTTAAATGTTTTCCCATACTTGGGCTTTTCTTGATGTTCAACGAAAGATATTTATCCTAAATGAAAAAGTCATGAAGTCTTAATGTTGCAAGAGTTGTCCCATTTCAGATTAATCTGCTAATTATTATTCTTTTCATCAAATTATACAAGGCCCGTTGTTTTTATACATACACTTAGAAATTTTAATAATATCCAAATAACCTTAAAACTTTCATGTTAATATGCATATTTACTTATTTTCTCTTGATGACCATGCAGGAAGGAAAAGTCTCTTTAAAAATAAAGGCACTTTGGGATATTTTGAACAATTGAAAAACTTGAAGGAGTTTTGTCAAATACTTATAAGCCAGTGCTATTGTTCACTTTAACAACCAAAGAAGAATAAGGAAATTATACTATTTACACTTTAGGACTTTAAGAGTCAAAAGGTTTATCTCTGAATTCTCTGTTAACTTTTCTAAGAGTAAGTCATTGATTCATAGATGCTTTTAACTAGCTGGTTAACTATCCATTTCTTGTAGCTATGTCTCTGTCACCCCGAAACTGTTTCTCCTACTGTCTACCATAACTTGATCTACCGTTTGATCTCTTAGGCTTTTATATTCATTTCTTTTATTTTTGCCACATTTTGGAGCAAATTCATATAGTTTGAATATATTGCAATTTAATTATAATTTCTCCCCTCAGTTTTGAAATCAGAGAACATTGTGTGTGTGTGTGTGTGTGTGTGTGTGTGTGTGTGTGTGTGTGTATGAATGAGGCAGTGGTGTTCGTTGTAACTCTTACATGGGGGTGGTGAGGAGAAAAAAAGGGGGGGTAGTTGTAAAATTCTTGTCTGTACACACTCTGCTTCTGGAAAGGTAGCTTCTAATTTAAGAAAATGGCTAATCATTTTTCCCCCCCTCTCCAAATGGTTTCCCTAGGAAACCAATATACATATTCGCAGTAAAATATACAACAGTGTAAACCAGCGGGAGAAGAAAACTAAAATTGTACTTTGGCCATTTCAGTTAATACTTTAAAAATTAATTGTAAAAAGGTCTAGTTATTCTAATTAAAAAATTGTCACAAGCTGTTGGAACGACAACACAAATAATACGTAAATGTGCCATAGGTAGCAGCAGATAATTACCATCGAAGAGCTTCAGATTTATTCTTAGTTTTGGAATTGGCCTAGGGCAGTGTTTACTGCCTTTTTTTAACTGGGAGATGCTACCATGTTCACCTCTGTAGTTTGCAAGGCCCAGTGCAAACTGAAGATGTGACTTCTTGTTCAGATTCCAAGGCAGTAACAGGCGAGCATTAAACCCAGCAGGGGGCGCGTCTGAACACAGAGTCCTGTGACTGCGGATCACACTCCTAGAAGCCTCCCCCGCTTATCAAACAGAAGTAATGAGGCTAGATTCGTGTTTATTCCTAATTTTCCATTGGGTGAAGCAAACTTTTTTTTTAATTTAAATGACTACAAATAGAGTTTTCTGAAGGCAGTAGTTTTAATAACAGGCATAATATGTAAGTGGCATGCCTTTGTTAAAATTTTAAATCAACTTTACCTTCTGTTGCCTTGTGGTGTTAATATATAAGCATGTAAATGCAGCGTGTAAGTTTATTTTGTAATTCAGAGCTGTCTGCTATGAATTAAAAGTCTGCAATGAAAAAAATAACAGTAATCCTGTCATTGGTTCCAAGGTTTTTATAATGTGAGTTGTGTTTAAACCAAAAACTTACCAAATAGTCTAATTTAGAACTATCTTCCCCAAAGCTTTGAAGCTGGTGTTTTCAGCAAAGAGGTTTTCGAATGTAAATTCTTTCCTAGAGGATTAACAACGGACAAAAAAAATTGTTAAACTATGATACACCCTTGAAATGTTGATACAAATATACAGAATTTTTTTTTTTAAATAGTTTTTTTTTTTTAATTTTTTTTTTCGACGTTTTTTTTTTTTAATTTTTATTTTTTTATTTTTGGGACAGAGAGAGACAGAGCATGAACAGGCGAGGGGCAGAGAGAGAGGGAGACACAGAATCCGAAACAGGCTCCAGGCTGTGAGCCATCAGGCCAGAGCCCGACGTGGGGCTCGAACTCACGGACCGCGAGATCGTGACCTGGCTGAAGCCGGACGCTTAACCGACTGCGCCACCCAGGCGCCCCTACAGAATTTTTTTTGACAGGGTTTATAGTTGTGAGAACCTTCCTAGTCTTTGATATAATTGGGTGCAAAATCTGTTAGTTCATGTACCAGGTACTTCTAGAGCTGACTCCCACTGTGGTAAGTTTTTGGTACCAACTCTTATTCTGGAATTCTTACTCTGATAGGTAGGTAACATTCCAGAAAGGAAAGGAGGGGTGTTGAAGAGATTTCTTCCAGGAATCTATTCCACTGTTAGAAAGTGAAATGGTGTATCACTAGTTCTAAGAGAGAGTAAAAGTAATCTCTTTCCACCCCCTCCCCACTTTTGGTTTTTGCTTTTAATCTCCCAGTGTAAAAAACAACAACAAAAAACCATTCAAGTCTACTGAATTTTTGTGAGGCTTTTCATTCAGAGTTTGAGATCATCCATCAATTTTGGAATTTGACCTGGTCTAAGAATTGTGACCTCCAACAAAGATTCCACAATTGAACTATGGACTCTAGTCTTCACCTTCCCTATACCCTCCATGCACCATTGGTAGGATTCTTTGCATATACGTTTTGCCTTTAAAATATCCATTAATTACTGACTATAGTAAATAGTACTTCCTCCAGAGGTTTGTATACAGTTGATATAAAGACGTAAAAAAAGAAATAAAGAAAAAACATTAATTGAGTCATTCTTTTCCCAGACCAGGCATCTAGTCTAGTTGTTGGTGAAAAAGAGCTGATCCCACTGGTCCCTGAGGAGGCACCTGCCTCTGAAACAGACATCAACCTGGAGGTATCATTTGCAGAGCAAGCAGTCAATCAGAAGGAGAGTTCCAAGGAGAAGCCCCCGAAGACCAGAGGCGATGACGCTCCATTACTTGTACGTAGTGCACTATTCAGATTTCACTAAATAGAAGAGTATATTTTTCACCAGCTTTTTATTTTGGAAATTTCAGACCCATAGAGAAGTTAGAAGAATAGTACAGCAAACAGCCCTACAGGATTCATGTAGATCCATTTGACAGTTAACATTTCACAAACTTTGCTTTTCCTCTTTCTACATTATCTATTTATATGTTGTGCTATCGGCTGTGCGCTTGCTTTTTTTTTTTTTTTTTTTTATAAAGCTCTTTGCCCAACGTGGGGCTTGAACTCATGACCCCGAGATCAAGAGTTGCATGCTTGGCCCACTGACCCAGCTAGGCACCACCCCCCCACTTTGTTTTAGCTTAACAAAGACCTACAAAACAACACAGCTATAATACTTAAGTTGAACACTAAAGCAATAATTGTATTTCATAACAGTCATATTAAAATGTTTCCAGTTGCCATAATATTGTCCTTTATAGCTTCTTCCTTCCCTATCCCCATCTGGAATTTGAGTAAGAGTTGTACATTGCATTTGATATCATATCATTTGGTTTCCTTGAATGTAGATCACATCCCCTGCTTTTTCTTTAATATTTTTGAAGAGTCCAAATCAAATTTCTGATTTTGTCTGTTCCTCATGACTGGATTCAAGTTAAACATTTTTGGCCAAACTACTGCAAAGATGAGGTTTATGTCTCTGATTGCATCAGCAAAAGAGGGGCATGCTGTCACATGGCCCCTTTATTGGTGATGGAAGTTTGATCACCTAGTTAAGAAGATGTTCACCAGATCTCCGTATTAAGATACCTTTTCCTGTATGCAATTAGTACTAATTTGTTATGCTTGGGACTGGGTGAGTATCCCATTTGTCAGTAACAACCAATCGCCCACCAGTTTCCCCATGCATTTGTAATCCTTGCCTGAAACAATAATTAAACTAGCGTTTGAGAAATGGTGATTTTTCTAATTTTTTAATTCCATATTGATTGGTTGGCAATCTTGTGTAACACTTTCCCTTTTCTCTCTTTGTTTTTGAATATCACTATGGACTGATGGCTTCCTTTTTTTTTTTTTTTTTAATTCATTGTTAAATAATCATTGTGTTTTCTCCTTTAATGTTCAAATATACCTAAATTTGACCAGTGGGAGCCCTTCAGGCTGGTTCCTGTGTCATTTTAACATGCCCTCATTTCTTTTACTTCTTTGCTTTCTAGGATGAGATAGATGTTCCAGGCTTACTTTGTACTTTCCTTCCCTTGGACTTGAAAGACTCCGTTTCTTCAAGGAGCCCTGGTTTCTTTTAGTAGCAGATAGTATTTAGAAATTAAGCTTCATGTATTGAGTGTTCTTGTTGTTACTGAATGTCTTATATTTTTAAAAATAAATGTAGTTATTTATTTTGCAGAAATTCACACCTGCAAAAGTTAAAAAAAAATACGATGAACTTCCCATTACTTCCCTACTAGCCCCAACATTCATTAACCCATGGCTAATCCTGACCTATCCATACCCCCAACCAGTGCTCCATGTGTGTTATTTTGAAACACATCTCTTAATGTTTTGTCATCAATAAATATTTCAATATGTAGTTCTAAAAAATCGCGGGGTTTTTATAAACATGTCCATATTACCATTACTGTACCTAAAAAATGCTAACCGTTCTTAATTTCAAATATCCAGTAAGTGTTCAAATTTCAAATTGTATCAGACATTTCATGATTGTTTTTTCAAATGTATTTGATTCCGGATCCAGTTAGGTTTATGCATTGCAGTTGGTTGATATGTCTTTTAAGATTTTTAATCCCTCCCTCTCTCTCCATTCATTATTCTCCTTCTTTCTCACTATCCTTTCTTCCTTCCCTTTCTCCCTCAAAATTTATTTGTTGAAGAAACCTGGTTATTAAGTTACAGAGAATTTCCCCCTCCAATTTCTCATGTTCTTCTTGTTCTTGTAAATTATTTGATGATAGATTTAACAGATTCAGGTTGGGTTTTTTTTTTTTTTGATCAAGATTACTTCATATGTGATCATATATCAAGAGACAAAATATCTAGTCTTTCTCTTTTTGTGAAATCAGTAGCTGCGGCTAACCAGTGCTTGGATCCATTAGTTTATTAATGGTTACGGGATGATGTTTTCATTTCTTCTTTTATTCATTTATTAACTTGAATACTTTTTTAAGAAAAACTTTCTAAAATGATTCCTTTTAATTGACCAGTTGTCATTTTTTTCTTTCCTTAGCACCTTTCACTAGTGACCAATTAATGTGTTGTATTTTAATTTTCTTCTAAAAAATAGAATTTAACTCCTAGATGTAGTCCTATATGACATGACCCTGGACAAAATTTCCCCTGCGTATGTGATATATTTTCTGCTTTAGGCCTAGAATTTTCTGTTACCTGCAAGAAACCCTGGGTCTGTTTAGTAGAAGTACACTTTTGTAAGTATGATCAGGACACCAGGACCGTTCCTTTCTGTGGGTTGGTCATTGCTTCAAGCCTGTTCAGAGGCCAGAAGTGCATGTGGATCTTCTTTCTTCCATGCCGAGAATAGTCGTTCTCAGGATACAGCAGGTGATATAATTAGAACACATATAATTACTTGTTTGTTTTATCCTCAGTTAATGCACAGTGTTCTCAGAATAACAATGGTAACGCTGCTATTAACAATATGATTACTAGGAAACAGTTTAAACTTGTTTTTCTTCTCTTCAGTTGTTTGTATCCTTGAGATATATCCCAAAAGGACTGTAATGTTAAAATTACTGTGCTTTAGGTTACAAAGATAGTTATTCTCCATATGGTTAAGCCACCAACTGCACACTTGGTTAAGTAAATGGTTTCATTTTATTTTCAATTTTTAGGGATTGCTTTTTTGAAATGTAATTTCGTTTTTGTAAGCATGTAAAATATTTACGTGGTCCAGAAGTCAAATTTAAAAACAAGTTGTATTAAAAGTCTGGCTTCTGTCTCTGAGCCATCATTCTATTCTCTCTGTCCCCTTACAGGTAAATTTACCTTCTAAGTAAATTCTTTTTTATTTTAACTTTATGGTTTAACCTTCTGTTCTCAGATAAATGGTAGCCCACTATACACACTTTTCTCAACCCTGAATTTTTGTTATTTTTGACTTAGCATTATATTCTGGAAATCACTCCATAGTAACATAGAGAAATGTTTCTCATTCTTTTTTTATAGCTATATCCTACTCCATTGTGAAGATGCATCAAAATTTATTCAACCTTTTCCCTAATGGTGGACATCTAAGTTGTTTCCAGGCTTTATCATATATTTGTAAGAATCTGTTTTTATACCTGATGGGAAAAGTAAAGGAGGACGTATCCTTTGGCTTAAAGAGATGACCTATACTCCCAGACTGTTAGTGTAGTGGGCAGTCCATATCTCAACAGATGGAAGGGGTTTTAAGTGAAACACCGTAGAGTCTAATTTAAAAAAAAATGAAGACACTGTTGACTTCTAAGCTGTTCATTCAGAAGTGGAATAGAATATAAATTAATAGCTACTTTAGAGACTTAAAAACAAAACTTCCTTTCTTGTTTCATTCTCTGCTTAACATTTCTGCTTACCTACCCTCTTGATTTTATTCATGTTGTGCCCCAAGCTTAAAATGACCTTCCTATTTGGGCCTCCTTGTTGTTCCCTGTTTACCAAGAAAGTCTTAACTCATCCTTTGGGGTCTAGTTCGGTCTCTAACTTTATTATTAAGTCCTTTCTGGTTGTGAATTTACATTAGATACAATGTATAAAATAATCCTTTAAGCTGTTAAGATGCCATGCTTTTGATAATTATTGTCAATGTAATCTGGTATTTATCTATGCATATATGCATCTGTTCATCTCTATACCCATTTATCCATATGTCTTATAGAAGGCATGGGCATGTAAGCCTTTCACGAGTCCTCAGCATGGTTGATGGAATGAATATTTATATTCATCACTCTGAGGCAGGTGTCTAAGAAGATAAACCTTAAATACCATTTCTACTCCATGCTCCCCTGCTTCTGTAAATAAGCAGTAAGCTTTATGTAATACATTGTTCTGTGTTGACTTCCATTTTTTAATTCATTTCTTTTTTCTTACAACGTTGGGTATAGTCTTTGTTAATTCTTTATGATCTCTCACAGCAGATTCAGATTTCTCCTCTTAAATTTGTAGATCAGGTTTTATAACCTCTCATGGGCTTCAGTTTGAAAATGTAGCTACTACTTTGTTTTGTGTACCCACTCTATCTCAGAAAATATGCTCTGTAATTTATCAAATGATCTCATGATGTAGATGTTACAATTCCTGTTTTTCATACAAGGAAACAGTAAATTATATATGGCATGCAAAGGCTTGGCTTCAGGGACTCAATTTTTGAAGCTCAAGTTTTTCCTGGAAGGACCATGTCGATTCCACTTTATGTGCCCTGAAGGTCTATGTGTATTTAATTTAGGTGTGAGTTTAAGTGGCTCTGTATTGGTGCTGGTGACAACTTGTTCAGGGTAGCTTGGGATATTTTATCAATAAGATTCTGGCTTGTGGGGTCCATCATGTACAATAGAAATTTAATAATACTCCTTCAGCGTACTTTGGAGACTAAACATTAAGGATTCTGAAATTTTGAAGATCCATAGTTTTAAAAGTGTAACTGTGGTAAAGCCTCTATTCTAAATGCATGCCTATATTTAGTTCTTAGGTCTTTATTCAGTGTCCTTTGGATTCTTATTGAATTATGACCTTGATTGTCTGGTAACACAGCTCCGTGCATACTAAATACCAAAAACTAGGCATGGAGGCCCACCTTGGCAGTTTGCTGGAGAATGGAACAACTCTGGAGGACATCGAAGAGGTGTTGTTTCAGGATTGAATGAGAACACTGAAAGCCAAAGCAGACACACTTGTCCACAATGCAAAAATAGGTGTTTAGGGTTATAGTCCTGAATTGTCAAGAAAAGGTTAAATTACGGCTATTTGGTCTCCATTTAAAAAATTGAAGAAATATTGGAATGCCTGGGTGGCTCAGTCTGATTTTGGCTTGGATCATGGTCTCACAGTTTGTGAGTTAAAACTCTGTGTTGGGCTCTGTGCTGACTGTGCGGAGCCTGGAGCCTGCTTTGAATTCTGTGTCCCCCTCTCTCTCTGCCCTTCCCCTGCTCACAGTCTGCCTGCCTCTCTCTCTCTCTCTCTCTCTCTCTTTTGCAAAAACAAACATTAAAAAAAATTGAAAAATTGAGGAAATATAAAAAACTAAATTTGAAAGTTCATTTGTCTAGAAAAATATTCATCCTTTGAAAATGACAATGAAATGCTGTAATAAAATCACATTTTATACATGGAAAAATCTTCGTTAAGAAATGTATTTCCTAGCAGACCAGGAAAAAAAAAAAAAAGTCATCTGTGGAAATTGACCAGGTAAGAATAGATTCTCTTGCTTTCCAAGTTGAAGGTAGAAGTGACTTGATGTATTAAAGTCAAGTCCATCAAAGTCCATATTTACTGATGGAGTGCCTAAGGAGCCCTTTGTATTGTGAGGTCTGCAAAAGAGGGGTGCGGTCGGGGAGAGCTACCTGATTAATTTATAGTAACACATGAGAACCAGTGACCTTATCATTTTTGAGAAATTTTATTTCACTTCATTCTTGAAGCACATTTTTCAAAAGGCAAAGAGCTTTTCTTTTGCTGAAATTGCGTTGCCTTCTCTTAGCCAGCGAACTGAACCATCCAGTCTATTAACTAAACAAAAATGACAGGGGACTTCATAAATATTTAAACCTGCTGCTATGAATTAAACATTGGGATGAAGAACTAACTCCTTTCATTAAAGCACAATGATAAATAAATAAATAAATACATAAATAAATAAATAAAAGCAAGTTCATGACATATATTGCTAGGTAAATCAAATGTTTGAACTAATAATATTTCAGGTTTCTCTAAATATTTACCTTGGCTAGTTCTTTAAATAATTAAATTACATGTGTTTGGCTTATTAGATCAATAGCTACTGATTTAAAGGAAACGTTTAGACCTGAATAAAAAGAATAAATGGTTGGTAGATCAGATTGTTTCAGCCCTTCAGAAAACAATGCAATTAGCAGAACTCTGGGGCCAGGCCTGAAGAAAATGTGACAAGTTTTGTGTGATTTTGTGAAGCTCAGTACAAATCACAGGACAGCGAGGGAGCATCCAGCCAGTGGCCCTGAACCTCACTGACCTCGATTCTGTGCTTTTCTCCCTGTAGGGTGTGTGTCTTAATTCATTGAACAGACTGGGACAGGACCCCTGCAGTGTGCCAGGCCTATGGTAGAGTAGGGATACGGAAATGAGTCTGTATGAGCCCTTGAGGGGCTCACAGTCCTATACCAGTACCGATCCACCTAGATTCCTCCCCACATGCTCTGGTGGACAGAGAAAATGGAGCAGAACAGAATGGTTATTACTGCATTTAGAATCTAGAAGATCTGAATTTGCATCCTTCTTTTGCACGGGCTTTGTGGCCATATTTAGTCTCAAGTCCCCACCTAGAATATGCTGTAATAATTCCTACCTATTGGGACTTTTTGCAGAATAGGATCAAAAAACCATTTATCAAATAAGAGTATTAGCCTTATCATGTTTTCTCTTACCTTACAGTAATAGTTAGGCAAAAAGGAAAGGCACAAAATCTTGAATTTATTGAAAAAGCTGTAGGAAAGAAATGTAGTGATAATGCAACACTTTTTGAGTCTTTACTTGGGCCATTTGATCCTCACTACAGCCTTGTAAGGTAGGTTCTGTTGTTCCCATCTTCCAGATGAAGTGGCTGAGGTGACACAGAGGTGATGTAATTTGCCAGAGGTCACATAGCTAGTAAGTGATGGACACAAGATTGTCCACCTGTGGTTTGGCCCCACGTTCTCAGCCCCCATGCACTGCACCGTTAACACGCTGAAAATTCACTTAGACTATATATTTAATGATGTCTACTGCTGTTTTATTTCATATTCTCATAAAGAACTATAGAAAGTTCTCTCTTGGAGTTGAGTTTGCTTGAAAGGAATTAGCTGCTCAATTCCAAAAGTTGTAGGTTTGAGGAAATGCTTTAAGACAGTGAAACTTCAACATTTTGGTCTTATAACCTTTTTAGGCTCTTAAAAAGTACTGAGGGACTTCAAAAAGCTTTTGTTTCACTAGTCAAGAAGGATGTTGGTATTGAGGACAATAACTACCATGGCTTCCAGCGCTTTGACAAAACCGCAGATACGTGGCCTTCTGGCTAAGAATCTGTGATTTCCTATTGTTGGAGCATTTGTTGGCTCCCTGAACTTTGCAGCTACTTAGAAGTATGCTGTGGCTGAACCAAGACAGAAGGCATACACATAGTTCTACAGAAATTATGGTTTCATAAAAGATTTTGAGGAGATGAGGATGGCCGTAAGTGATTTTGGAATGTGAAGAATTTCTTTGGATTGAGTTCCATGGAAGTTTGTCGCTAACCTCTGTTCTTGGCCTATGAAACGTGAATACATAGACTAAGGAATCATTTTTCTTGATAAGTAAACAACAAATACTATGAGAGTAGTGATTTTGTCTATATCAGTTATTATACCTATGGATATTTACCAAATTAGAAATTAAAATTGAGACATTTGGAAATTATTAATCCACTTTACAGTATTACAGTTACCATAAATAACATTTTTATGAAAAATCATCATATTTTCTAAAACAATTATTGTTTAAAAGATTTTCTTTAAAGTTTGAGAGAGAGCACACGTGTGCAAGTGTGGGAGGGGCAGAGAGAAGGGGGGGGGGGAGAGAGAGAGAGAGAGAATATCCCAAGCAGGTTCTGCACTGTTAGTGCAGAGCTTGATGTGGGGCTCGAACTCACAAACCACAAGATCATGGCTTGAGCTGAAGTGGGACGCTTACTCTACTGAGCCACCCAGTCACCCCCTGAAACAAATTATTAAGAAGTGTGCCACGGTTTTACATTTTATCCACTCCAGTGTTTCACTGTAGTAGAAGTCAGTTGGGCCTCACCTCTATATCTGTGTTCAGTCTGTTGCACCAACACCTGTCTTACACCTTTGGCAAACTCCACTGAATAATCATAAGGGAATGGGAGTGGAAAAGGCAAGTAATCCCTTAGTATTACTCATTAAATAGTTTTGACCTCATAGGTGCCTTGAAAGAGTATTTGGTAACTTCCTGGTTCCCTGGACCTTACTTTGAGAACTGCTGCTTTAAGACCTGTCTTTTGCATTAGTTTTTAGACCATGAAGTGTTAATAACATGGTACAAAAATGAGCAAAGTAAAGGGAATAAAAGGGAATAGTTGAACATCCTTGTCCGTTAAATGAGGAAGTGAAGAATAAACCCTAAAGATATAATCTTTATAACCTTTTTTTATCAAACCATCAAAGAATGATCATAGTTTTTAGTAATCCGTAAATACAGTAGGAATAAAATTTGTCTTAAATATGTTAGCAAAATTCATGTTTTTACTTTGTGCTTTCTTATATTTAATGCATTTAATATTAAAAGTGGCTGAATAGGTCATAGATAATATTTGGGAAAGGCAGGAAACAACAAAACACCACTTACTTGCCTGTGATAGTAGTATCTCTAAGTCTCAGTTGATTTATTCAGTGGTGAAGGTAATAATGATAGGGACAATATAAAGGTGCTTGGGAAGTGCCAGGCATTTAAACGTCACTACAGCCCACTGAACTAGGTGGCCTTCTTCCCCTCCTTCTCTCCTTTTCCCCTCTACCTGTTCTCTTTCTCTTCCTCTCCCCTCTACCTATGTCCTCCTCCTTCGTCCTGCCTCCTCTCCCCTCCTCCTCCCCACTGTCCTCCCCTTCTGCCGTTCTCAGAAACCGTGGTTAAGCAGTTGCCAGATTGTTAGTGGCTAGTCAGTAGCTAGATGAGTGGTAGTCATTCTGGCTTTAACGTCCATGCTGTTAGTATCCCTTCTGCTCTCCCTGTCACCCCAGTGCTCTACAGCCCTTCTGTACCTACCTTATCTGGGTTTTTATGACAATATTTTAATATGTATTATAAATATTATTTATTTCACATCATTATACCTATAATACACATGACAGAATGTAGGTAAAGGGTACCTCGTACATTGTAAGCACTCACTCATGGCTCTATCCTCTTTTTCTTCCTCCTCCTCCTACTCATGGTTGGTCTTCTAATCTTCCTTGGTTCTTAAAAGTCAATAACTAGAGTTCTTTTTCAGTTTTACCATCTCTTTTGTCCTCTTTGCCACGAGGATTAGTACTCCTAGTACATAGTCTGGTCGCATCGTCTGTCATACCTCACATACTGACTCGATATAGGTTTGAGGACCATCCTCATGACAAGATGGCTCTTCATCCTGACTATAGAAATTCTGCCATAGCTTTCATTGTCACTACTTTGAGTATAGCTTCTTTGTACAGTTACAGTTTAGTCGTCTTTGACTAAAAGGGTTAGATATTATAAACCTTTATTAATGGTACTTATTTTAGAATTTCAGACTGCCAAAAGACAAAACGGGTACCACCAAGATTGGTGACCTGGCACCCCAGGACATGAAGAAGGTTTGCCATTTAGCCCTAATTGAGCTGACTGCCCTCTACGATGTATTGGGTGTTGAACTGAAGCAACAAAAAGCTGTGAAAGTCAAAACAAAAGGTAATTTTGAAATAAAGAACAGTTAGATTTACTTCAGAAGTAGCAAAGATGACCTTTTGAGTGGTATTCTTAGAGGGGGAAACACCTACAAAGTAAACTGACACTTGAATACATCCGAAGTTCAGATTCTAAAACGTTGTTTTCAAAAATCTTGAAACTTGATAAACATACACCGTTCTCCCGGACTATAGAAAATAAAGAGGTAATAAAATACTTAATTACCTTTGAAGGAAATCCTAAGTTAAGGAATCTTTCCGCAAATGTTCTTTCCTTTGAAAATAGTATGTTTAAAAAGTACATTGGGTACATAAACTACTTTATTTCCAAAATCAGATCTTGAAAAATAACTTGAAGGTAGTTGATCGATTGCTTTTGCTTATTCATTTGATGGGAAATACATAGGGTGGTTAGTAGCCTCTTTGCTCATTTACATTCTACTTTTAACTATTTTGCAAAAAACATTCTTCACTTAATATTAAGAAAATAATGCCATTGTGGCCATAACACCACCAAACTATACTCATCGTGGATATGTGTTTTTCTTTTGTAGCAACTTGCTTTACCCATTATATAAACAGACTTTATTTTTTATGATATGATAGAGAACAGACATCTTCTCAATTCTTGGTCTGGAAATCCAGATAATTCTCTATTGACAAAGTTTAACTGTTTAGGAATCTCTGACCTCTTCTTTAAGTGCTCCCTTAAAGAGATACCAAGAATTAGGATTATTGAGTTACTATGGTAACATTAATAAAGACACGTATTTCCCTGATTTAAGTTTTAGAGGCAGTTTCTCTGTAGGAATGAAGTATATCTACCCTCAAGGTCCTTTCTCCCATGCTGGGCCCCAGAAGACCTCATTCTGTGCTCAGTTCCTCTGAGTGTTTTAGCTTAAGGCTTGAGATGGTGAATTTCTGAGTTAAATGGTGCTTCTGATTTTCCACAAGTCCATTATAGATAATGAAAGACTTTAGATGTTTTTTCAGAAACTTGTCACAAAGCCTTTTCCAACTATAAAATAGAAATATAATTTAAATAGCTGTGACTCAGTACTCAGGACTTTTAAAATGGCTTAGAGAGGCTTTTTTATGTTTGAGAATTGCTTTCTAACAGAGAGAGAAATAATAAGCCATTCTCATTAAGAACGTTAACTATTAACAGAATAGATTTTCTTTCTGTTTCTTAAATATTTTTGTATCTTATCTAATAGATTTATCTCCCAAACTGGACTCCTGACATTTTTGAATATTACATTTTTTCTTAATTCCTAAACTAGAAATTATTTTTTGGGTTACTGGTATTCTTTTGAGTGGCATCTCTATAGAGAGTCAGTTTTCAGTGTCCTCATTCCACAGTACAACCCCCACCCCCTTGTTCACAAATGATTTATATCTCCCCTGATGATGTGTGTCACACTTCTGTGCTAACTGTACATTCAGTGATGGGGGTGGGGTAGGAGGTGCTAGGCAGAAGTTATGCTCACACCAGACTGAATGCATATGATTTTAATTTAGAAAAATTATAAATTGTTGCCTTTCATTTCATGGGGAGTTATTCCCAAATATATAAAACTATGAATTTCAATTTAAGACTGCCAAATATCTATATTTTCCAAAGAAAAACATTTGTAGAACAAGATCATAATGTTGGCTGATTTCTCAAAAAGCAAGAATTTATATTTTTCTGTATTGTAGGATGTTAGATGTCAATTAAGTATGAAAGAGATGAGTAACGTTTGCTTTAACCAGAACTTTTGATTACCTTTAGTAAATTATTTGCATATTTTGCATACTCCTATAGCACTATTTCTCTTATCTGGCGGTTTACACTTTTCTAATTATTTTTTTTTTTATGTTTATCTATTTTGAGAGAGAAAGAGAACACGTGCGCACATGCGTGCTCGAGTAGGGGAGGGGTGGAGAGAGAGGGAGAGAGTCCCAAGCAGGCTGTGTGCTGTCAGCGTGAGGCTGTCACAGGGCTCAATCTCCTGAACCGTGAGATCATAACCTGAGCCGAAATCAAGAGTCGGATGCTTAACACACTGACCCACCCAGGCATCCCTATAGGTTTCTAATTATTTTGATGATTATTTGCAATCATTTGCTTAGTTGTCTTTCCTTGTTAGATTCCTATATAAGACAGGGTCAAGATTTTCTTATTGAGATGTGTATACATAATGGCTAGGTACTGTCATTCACTTAGAAGTTCTCAATAAATAGTTGTGTGTTTGAATGACTACATCAGAAGTCTGTTGACATAATATTTTTGCATTAATATTTTGTAGATTGACGGAAATTAAGAAATTTTATTTTTTGTTGCAGATTCTGGTCTTTTTTGTGTTCCATTGACAGTATTGTTAGAACAAGATCAGAGGAAAGTACCAGGAACTCGAATACCCTTGATATTTCAAAAAGTAAGTAAGCCTAGATGGGTCAGCATAGAGAGAACATACTTGAACTAATAGAAGTTTTTTTCCTTGGCATTCATAATATTATAATCTCATTTTCCAATTGATGTGCTCTTTTATTTTGTACTTTGATTTTTCTATTCAGGAAACAAATTTGTTTCAAGGGCTCATAATTTTTATTTCATGGTGATGTTTTCTGTGTTATTACTATAACTGTGATTACCTGGCATCATTTTCCTGTCTTATATTAGCTAGCTTGGTATAATTGAGATTTCAATTCTATAATACACAGGAGTGGGAACTGCTTATAAGTTTCTAGGGAATTGTATCCTCATGAATATTTCATGCCTGTATGTATTTCCCAAGCTTTCCTATTTACAGTGAGGATGTCCAATTTAATTTACTAGTGCCTACTTCCAAAATAGGCAAAGAAACCATAAAGTAGAATTAGAAAGTGATTGCTAAACTATCAAGTCACTGGTGTGATCCACGCTCAATTATTCATAAGGGGAGGATCTATGGCAATATAAAAATTTCAGTCTAATCTCTGAGCCATCAGTGTTCAGAAACTTAGATTCTAGGTGATAAAAGCCAGGAATGCTACAGCGAGGAAGGTAGGTCAGATCCGTTAGGGACTACCCAAGCTGTAGATTTTTTCCAGCACATCACAATTTCTGAAAGCTCTGGGGAGAGCAAGAGTGGCAGTGGGAACTTTCACAATTGGCTGGCTCAACAAACTCATTCAGTAGTAAAGCTTAGTCTCCTTGGCACGGATTCTTCTGCTCTTCCAAACCAATCATTAGCAGTCTTAGCTAGTAACCTCTGATTGCATTATTCCTCATGTTCACCATTACACCCAAACCTGTAGCTCATTGTTTCTCCTAATGATCTTTGCTCCACGCCATGTGTTCTACTCATCAGCCTCTGCCAGTCCCTGCCTGTAGACCTTGTATCTGTGTGGATAGTTGTCAACCGTGCCTGTGATTAGCTGGAGATGCTAACAAATGTGGGCCATGTATTCACATCAGTTTAAGTAAAAGGTGCACGTTACCACCACAGATGACTGTATGGAGCAAGGATCTCAGCAGCATCCTTTCCAAGTGGATATGGGTTCTCCAGAGAAACAGAACCGATAAGGTGTTGTGTGTGTATGCATGTTTGTACAGAGAGATTTCTTTTAAAGAATTGGCTTATGCCGTTGTGGGAACGGCACATCTGAAATAGAGCAGTCCAGAGTCTGGAAACTTGGCCAGAGGTGATAATGGCAGCGTTGAGCCCAAAACCTGCAGGTTGGAAACTCCTGTAGGCTTTCCATGTTGTAGTCTTGAGGCAGGATTGCCTCTTCTTTGGGAAACCTCAGTCTTTACTGCTGAGGCTGCCAACTGACTGGATGAAGCCCACCCACGTTATGTAGAGTCATTTGCTTTACTCAGAATGTACTGATTTAAGTGTTAACTACATCGTAAAAAATACCTTCACAGTAACATCTAGGCTGGTGTTTGACCAAATAACCAATGATGACTCACGCTGGACTTTTATCAAATTCACCATCATACTAGTGAAGAGTAAGCTTTGGTCCCCACAGAAATTCGGAAATTGTCTCCTGATCAGGCTGAGGATTGAATGCAGTCCCCTGTGATTTTCTCTTGGAGTTGTTTTCTCATTTATTATTTTACATTTCTGTCACTCATTTCAACATTCTGAAGACTCAGGCTTCCGACCAGTTTGAAGTTGTTAGATAATAGCCTTAAAGTCTTTTTGTTCACATAAAAAATAAGGGTATAAAGAGTTTACTCTTAGATAAAACTCCTCTACTTGCGTCCCCTCTGAATTATAAGCACAAAAAATACAGTCATCTGTCACTGAAAAATATTTTTTGAGTGATCAACTCTCACCCCAATTAGGTATTTCCTCCATTTTGTACAAAGGAAAGAATTGGAAGTCACTGATTTGCAAAAAAAGATTTATCAATTTTTAGAGGATTATACTTTTTTATTTATTAAGAATTATACCCCCAAAAGGGCTTTAACAAAGCTTAGCTAATATCTGTGAATCATATCTGTTGTTTTCTTGTTAGTTTTGTTTTGTTTTTGCTCAGAGACACATTGTTTAAACTGTAGTCTCAGAAAGAGTTAGGGAAATAGAAATATTCTTAATTTTTATCTATAGAAAAATTCTGACAAACTGGCAAATTCTCACTGTCACAGGAATCTGCCAAATCAAAGATACTTTGTGTCAAAAACTTCTGACTTCATTTTCAATTCATAAATTTGTGTAAGTATGTAATCTCTCTTGGGAAATAGTATGAACATTATTGATAAATTATGTAATGTGTCTTGTAGGATAAATTACTAAAGAGCAGCCTGATTAAAATATAGATCAATATAGTTATTTTTCATTTTTAAGTCTTGAAAGTAAAAGTGCTATAGAATATTATTTATATTTTGATAATGCTATATAATGTGGTAGCTAAAAAGTTATTTTTAAAAAAACGTTTAATGTTTATTTTTGAGAGAGAGAGCGTGAGCAGGAAAGGGGCAGAGAGAAGAAGACACAGAATTCTAAGCAGGCTGTAAGCTCTGAGCTGTCAGCACGGAGCCCGACGCGAGGCTCGAGCTCACAAAGTGTGAGATCATGACCTGAGCTGAAGTCGGATGCTTAACTGACTGAGCACCCAGGTGCCCCATAAAAATGTTACTTTTAAAGAGAGAAATATGAAAAAAACACATGGCATTCTTTGAGGCAATATATATGCATATCTCTATTGAATGCTGCTCTTTCACATTAGAGAATAATGAAAAGAACTTAAATATAAAAATTTAAGACTTACTGTCAATTATTTAGAAATTATCCATTTTTCCTGTGTATTTAATGAAAACGGAAGGCATATATTACTGCTAGGAACTAATTTGCTGTAGCAGCTAGCACAGAATTTTATTTTTTGCCACTAGAACATTTTAAACATTTTAGAAGATGAAATAAAAATGAAAATTGCTTGAACAGTGAATAAATTTTGCATGGTCTTATTTGATAAATTTGGTTTTAAATCCTTTATTGAATAATGCCCTTCTCATCTGAGATAATTCATGTAAAGGTTTGCTGTGGGTTTACTAGCTAACGTAATTGAAAAATGTGATCTTGGAAAACATTGCAGTTGAATTTTTAAAAATCGTGTACTGCTTTGACTGGTCAAGGATGGTTCTTTCTTCAGCTGATAATAAATCCTTAGGAGAATTTCGAGACTACTCTTTGCTTTATTCTTACCTGACTCCCCCAAGATCAGTGCATTCTTTGGCCATAATCCAGGGATAGAAGAAGTGAGGTCATTAAAGAAAAATTACCTCCCTTCCAGTGTCTACACAGTACAATATATCTGATTTCAGGACATCTAGACAAAGGTCAGGAGACCTCATTTTATGATACCATGCTTTGCTCCTAGTAGACATTTGTATAAGCAAGGGAGAAGCAGTAAGTTTCGTGCAGTTTATAGAGCCTTGGTAAATCATTAAAGGAGATTTCTCTGGGGGAAAAAAAAAGATAAAAATTTACATTCTTTGGCACTCTGGAAGATTTTATTTATGTCTTAGGGTGTGCAGAGAGATTTTAGTAAGTTTGGGGATGAGTGAAGAGTAGGTTTGTCTTTTGTGAAGTTATAAGACTTGTGGAAAGGGGTGGGTGGTAGGAAGGAAAACCTATCTGATACTAGTAATTGCCTTATATTTAACCTGAGGACAAGGAAATGGATTTCCTTAAAATAGCAGAGTACCCCCTATAAAGCCTTTGGGCACTGCCCAGGGAATACATATTTCAATTGGAAGATCACTCTGCCAAGAAACTAAGCACTTTTTTTTTAATCATCTTCCTAAGCTTCCAACAGTATGCCATTGTAATTTCTCCATTTGCCTTAATCTTGTAGGTTTTGGCATTATTTAAAAAAAAAAAAATTTGTTACTTTAATGCGTTTCTGGAGACAGACCTATATGTATTCATTGGGTATCAGGTACTATTTAAAAACCCTATACAAGAACTGTTTTTACTTAGGTTTACCACCAAAAGCTTAAAAGCTTAAAAATGAATATTCACAAACCGTTTTTTTTTTCCTTCATACCATAAATAATTATTTCAAACAAACCAAAAATGAGATGTAAATGTGCAAGTACTGGAATTTCCTAGATTTATTTGATTGCAGAACATACATTTCTGGAAAAGCAGAAGAAATGGATGGTCTCAGTGGCTTTTAAACAATGAACATCTTCAGTCTCCATTTGTTTAGAGTGTGACAGCTGTTGTGTGAAATTATACACTTCTGTAATAAAGGAGAATAAAACCCAACTTTTTCTAATTTGTGAGTAAAGTTTCGGGGCTTCACTGGTTTGCAGGGTAGGGCTAGCGCCATAGCATTTAAAACTTGCTGAAACCCAGTTTGCACGTCAGCTTGCGTGTATTTATATGTGAAGCAGATCTTAAATTTGGAATTGTACCTCTCAAGAATACCCAAGTCAGAATGTTCTTCTGTTTCTACGCAGCTGATTTCTCGGATTGAAGAGGGAGGCTTGGAAACTGAAGGTCTCTTAAGAATACCCGGAGCTGCCATTAGGATCAAGGTGATCTCTGAGTTCCACCAGTGTTGTTTAATTCTGCTTTGCCATTTTATTTTTAAATACTTTAAATGTATGTTTATTTTTGAGGGGGGTGGGGAGGAGCAGAGAAAGAGGGAGACCCAGAATCCAAAGCAGGCTCCGGGCTCTAAGCTGTCAGCACAGACAGCTTTGGCCTTTTAAAAGGTAACTTGTCTTCCCCACCCCTTCTTCCCATGTATAACCATAAAACCGCTTAATTTTTTTTAGGTTTACTTATTCATATTGAGAGAGAGAGAGAGCTTGAGCAGCGGAGGGACAAAAAGGAAGGGAGACAGAGAATCCCAAGCAGGCTCCACGCTGTCAGCGCAGAGCCTGACTTGGGACTTGATCCCACAAACCGTAAGATCGGGACCTAAGCTGAAACCAGGGGTAGGATGCTTAACTGACTGAGCCACCCAGGTGACCCTTCACATTCAGTTTGTATTTAGTTTTCTGTTTTCTTAACATTCAGTTTATATTTGGTTTTATGTAGTCTCTGCTGATTTTTATAGGTTTTGATTTCTCTTCAGAATCACTTTAGCTGTAATAATACCATGATAAATAAAGAAGCAAATAATTTTAATGTCTTTGCTGTGCAAGCCTAGAATAGGCACAAAAGCATAACAAGCAAAAAGACATGAGTAGTTTCATCCTTCTCAGGAAAAGAGAACATGATGAGTCAAAGTATCAATAGGGGGACTGGTGGTGGATTTAGTCAGCATGAGTAATAGCAATTGAAAAAAGTCAGGATGGGCGCCTGAGTGGCCCAGTCGGTTAAGCGTCCCACTTCGGCTCAGGTCATGATCTCATGGTTTGTGGGTTCGAGCCCCGCGTCAGGCTCCTTGCTAACAGCTCAGGTTCTGTGTCTCCCTCTCTCTCTCGCCTTTCCTCCTTGTGCTCTCTGTCTCTGTCCCCCTCCCCAACTTGTGCATGCTCTCTCTCTCTCTCAAAAATGAAATAAACATAAAAAAAAGATTAAAAAGTCAGGATGATAAACTCCAGCAGGGGAGCAGAGCAGGAGACATGACAATAGTCCCCATACAGAAGTCTTTGGGAGCTGACAGAATGAGACTCTGCCCCACTGCTATCCTGACTTTCATACTTCCTGTCTCACTGGATGCCAGGTAGCCCAAGCCTGGCTTGTGAAAGAGATGAGGTGATTCCCAGGCTTGCCCTTCCTCCCTCCCCCTGTCACCTTTTCTGGCAAGATGGCATCTTGTTCCCACTCTCTTGGGATGCTGTGTATCTTCCGCCTTTCTCCCTGTCCCCCAGCTCCTGCTCTGGGGATAAAGCATCCAGTAAATGCATGTAAAGATGGACTCACCCTGTAGATGAGGCATAGTACATCAGCGTCCCAGGGGAATTGCATTTTACAGGGGCCTCATGCTTGAAATTGTGGCTGTATCTGGGAAACGTGTCTAGGAAGAGGTTTTGGTTAGCAGCCACTAACAGTCTCCTCTCCAAAGTCAGCTTTGGCTCTCACCTGAGAAGAGCACAAGTCTTCCAGAATTTGCAAATCCAAGAGAAAACAGGATAGGGAGAAGAGAGATTTTCTCTTCGTTTCCTCAAGACCTATTCTATCGGACATTTTTAGAACTGAATCGGAGAAACGACTCTTGGTGGGCGCACGTGCTCTTTGCCTGTGACTGAGGCTGTGGGACTGCCAGGACTGGAATTAGTATTCATACCTTGCACGGTTCACATCATCTGCTTATTTTGATAAGCTTCCTCAATGTAGGATGCTAGTTTCGGCCTACTTGGCTCTTACTGCATAGGGTGATCTCGGTTTAATCAGATTCAAGTAACCTGATACATATACCCTGCTCACAAATTTCATTCAGCTTGTGTCCCGTGGGTTTGGTGTCTGGTTCACAGAGGTCCCTGACACTGCTTTGGGGTCCGTGTACGTTTGATTAGGTGCCATTGGTTGTTTTTGTTTTTGTTTTTGTTTTTGTTTTACCAACAGTCAAACATGGATAGTGTGTGTGATTCTGAGATAAATTCTGTTGAGAAGCACGTCCTCTTACAGAGAAAGAATCCCTCAGAAACAGGTAGCGTGACTTCAGATTACCCACATCGGCAAGAATACCGCTTCTCAGTTCACTAATTAGCACAATGTGATGGCCAACTCCTAAGAGTTGTAAACACATTTCCTTGAGTATAGGGTAGTGAACAGAATGCATGTTTTACATTTTTGACTGGAGGGCTGGCAGACCAGCTCTTAGAAATGTAATTTCTAAGAAGGTCAATTAAGTGGATTCATTTGGCTCAACTCTTGAACCCAGCCTATTGTCACATCCCAAATTATGCAGCAGCTGGTCCATTATAAATAATTTAAAGATAATATGCAAAGTTTTTGGTTGTCTTTCTCCCCAGCCCCACCAAATTCTTTATACTCTTCTGCCTACTCCCCCCAGCCCTTCCCCCTCCCTCTCAATCCTCCCCCTCTCCTTTTTCCTCTCCCTTCCCCCTCCCCCTCTCCTACTTCCCTCTCCCTCTTCCTTACTTCTTCTCTCCTTCCCTCCTTCCCTTCCTCTCTCCCTTTGCCTCTCTTTCCCCTCCTCCCCATTTCTAGGCTCACCTTTATGTATTTCACCAATTACAAAAATAAGTAGAGGGCAGAGTTGTGTTGGGAAGAGAAAGCGGACTAAATTCACCTCGCAAGAAAAATGAAGAATATTCTTTGGGAGAACAGTTTAAAATAATCAAGGACGTGACAGAAACTTGGAAGGATTTCCAACATAATAAGATTTATGCCACAGTGAAATGCATGTAGAAAATAGTGATTTTGAAACTAAATTGATTACTAATAATTTGGCAAATCTTATGGAGTCCTTGAGGTAAATGAACTTGGTATTTCTAATTTTGCATGGACTCCGACTGTTTTCCACAGCTAACAGCAGGATGGCTGTGTCACTTACGGCTTACCATAAGTAAGCCAATATACCAAGACAGGTATATTGATGTATTTTCAGGCCTCATTTGCTGTAGAATTTGGTTTTCCATTTCCCAGAGGTGACTAATCAGAGGTAGCCTTCTGCTTACAGCCCCAAGATTGATTATGTATTTTGTTATGTAATGTACTTCTAAATAATTTAAAACAGACTTGATAAAAATGAGTTTTTAAAAATTGAGTGAAAAATTAACATAAAGCCCCCCAGATGGAAAGACTATTTCCACTAATCTTTTTTTTTTTTTAATAAAAAAATGTTTTAATGTTTATTTTTGGGAAAAAGAGAGTTCATATGAATGGGAGCGGCAGAGATAACAGAGGATCCGAAGTGAGCTCCACGCTGACAGCAGAGAGCCCATTGGGGGGGGTTCGAACTCCCGAACTTGCGATCATGACCTGAGCCACCCAGGCACCCCTTAACTAATCTTTTAATTAAACCTTTACTGCTTAGGGTCTGTTGCATATCCAGGAGAATGTATACCGTTTTTGCATTTCGGGGGCCATGGGTATAATTTTTCATTAGAAAAGTATGCTTGGCGGAATAGTATTTTTCTGAGTGACAGAGAAGTACTTTCAGATTCTTTCGAGAGAGTACAATCTCTTGTAAAGTGGGAAGTGGATCACACTTTCAGCAGGAAAAAAAAATACACTTACTGTAGCTTTTTTTTTTTTTCTTCTTCTTCTGCCTTTCAGAATCTTTGCCAAGAACTAGAAGCAAAGTTTTATGAAGGGACGTTTAATTGGGAAAGTGTCAAGCAGCATGACGCGGCCAGCCTGCTGAAGCTGTTCATCCGGGAGCTGCCCCAGCCGCTGCTGAGTGTAGAGTATCTGAAAGCCTTTCAAGCTGTCCAGAGTAAGTGCCATCTCTCTCTGGAGCAGTCCTTGTCCTGCTGCCATCCATATTAATTGTTTTAATGACACTTTGCATCCCAAAGGATGTAACCAGATATATTTGGGTAGACAAATTGACTCACTGTCAACGATGCTTGAATGCCACACATTGTTTTCCTTTTCCTTTAGAAATACTCGTCTCTGAGTAAACGGTTAACAGAATGTTCTCTTCAGGTACAGATTAATTGCATGCCCATCAAGAAATACAACATATTTTCTCGTTAAAACCTGGAACTTCACATTTCTTTTATAATAGAACGAGTCACGTAAAATCTGATACATTTTTTTTTTTCTTGCCAAGTGTTAAAAGCAACACTTACTGGAGAAGCTGTGGATTACCAGTTATCATAAAAGCACAGGGAGATGCGGCAGAGTCTGTGATTATTTCCTGAAAAATTAAGTTCTGAAATTGTCACGCAGAAACATGGAACAAATTATTTGGCTGCCTCCCTGATGGAGGGCTGCAAACACCTCCTATCTTGCTGTTTCGTGGTCTTGGGCAAGCTCCAAATTAATGTCTCAAATAGTTGTTGATTCTTTTCCAGTGAATACAGGGATCTTTTAAGGTTTATGTACTGGCATAATTATTCCATTTAGTCCTAGAGGCCATCTGTAAAGGAAAGAAGCCACCACTACGTTCTAATGGCCTTATCTTTAACTTCCAAATTGGGACACTTTCGAGAGTGAACGGGGGCCACTGTTGATGACTATGGTGAGCTCCACCAGACCTGTTCGGGGGAGGATTCCAACTTTTTTTTTTTAATGGAGATATAATTGACCTATAACATTAGATACAACATAATGGTTTGGTATTTGTATATATCGTAAAATGGTCATTACCGTAAGTCTGATTAACATTCATCACCACGCATAGTCACAGTATATTTTTTTCTTGTGAGGAGAACTTTTAAGACCTACTCTCTTAGCAACTTTCAAATATGCAATACATTGTTATTAACTGTAGTCGCCATGCTGTACATTACATCGCAAGTTTGTGCCTACTGACACCCTTCACCTGTTTTGCCCCCTCACCACCCCTGCCTTTGGCTTGCACCAATTGTTCTTGGTATCTATGAGCTTATTTTTTTGTTTTTGTTTTGTTTGTTCTTCTAAGATTCCACCTATAAGTGAAATCATATGGTATCTATCTTTGTCGTATTTTACTTCATATAATGTCCTAAAGGTCTGCTCATGTTGTCACAGGTGGCAAGATATTGTTCTTTTTATTTTATGGCTGAATAATTCTGTTATTTTCCAGGCTATTCCCCAAGTGTATAATATTGAGATGATTCTCATGTGTCATTTCATAACATTTCTTCAGAATTTCTAGGGGGAGACATGACCGAAATCCTCATCTGTTTAAAATATTTGTAATGGTTAAGTTATACTGTTTTGTATATATTCTTTGGAAATGGATTCAAGCACAAATTTATTCCTGAGGAACAAAATACCAAAATGATTCCAAATATCCCTGAGTATTACTTATATGGGTTAAGGGCTAATAAAAAGTGATAAATATCAATGCTAATAAGGTACCGCTTCAACTCGGTCATTGCTGATTGGTTTTTTCATTCGTTCCATGGATGTATGGTGACCACTTACTGTGTTTCGGACTCAGTTTTTCATATTCCTTTTGGAATTGATGGACTCTTCCTATGTAATGTGTTCACTCACCAGTAAAGAAACAAACTTCAGTGTTACAGATGCATCTTGACACCTTACCACAGAAGGTCCCACTTTCTGTGTCTCTTCGTTGGGGAGTGATTATCACGCAGAAGTTAAGATGATTTCCAAAGCGCTGTTGTATGTCTGCAAACATAAGGCCGCTCATCATACGATCACAGTTGGAAGTGAGCATTCCGAGGGAGAGGGAAACTCTAAAGCAGCAGCTGTTTCTCCTGATCTCTCTCAAACACACTCAAGAATGCTCGCTGCTCAGTTGTTGTGTCTTACATTTCACAGTGATGTTTATGCCAAATAACTTTTTTCTTACAAAATGCAAAAAAGGAAGTAAAAAAAATGTTGGGTAAAGAAAAGAGTTTAGATTTATTTAATCTGTTTGCAGATCTTCCAACCAAGAGGCAACAACTACAGGCTTTGAACCTTCTTGTCATCCTCCTGCCCGATGCAAACAGAGACACCCTGAAGGTCAGCAGATTCATTTACATTAAACACCCCTCAGAACTGGGCGCCTGGGTGGCTCAGTTGGCTAAGCGTCCGACTTTAGCTCAGGTCATGATCTCACGATTCCATTCGTGAGTTCGAGTCCCGCTTTGGGCTCTGTGCTGACAGTTTGGAGCCTGGAGCCTGCTTCGGATTCTGTGTTTCCCTCCCTCTGCCCCTGCCCCTGCCCCGCTGGCACATTCTCTGTCTCTCTCCCCTCTTCCTCCCCCCCTCTCCCCACCTCAAATATTAAAATTAATATCCCTCAGAACTAGGCAAAGTAATTTTTCATTATTTGTGGCAAAACAATGTGATGTTTTCATGGAAACATTGCTAGTAGTCTATGAAGAAAACACCGATTTTTTAAGGATAGATGGTGGAAGTTTTTAACTCTTTATTAATGTATTTAGTAAGTTAGTCATATTAACAGTATTATCAGGTGTTTAATTTTTGCTCTAACTCTTCTACAAAACCAGTGAGTGAGGTTTCATTTTTTTAAATAGAAACATGGGTGCCTTGGGGTTTTTCCTTTTTATTTTTCTACGTTTTCCAAATTTTATTTAATGAGTGTACAGTAATTTGAAAAATGAATGTTTAAAAAGAAAGTAAGACTCATCAAGCAAACCTGTTGCCTAAAGATGTTATATTGTTTGTGGTTCTATGCAATAGAGTTTGAAATAAGTCATAATGATTTTGAAATGTTTGCTTAGCCAAAAGATAGACCAACTCAAACCAATTCTAGTTATTCCTCTAAGGACTTACCCTGAGTTTCTGATTTACATCATCATTTCAAATTGATTTGGTCTATATGATTTAATACCATTTATTATAAACATTATCAGGGGCTTTTATAATGATCAGTGGATTGTTCCACATTGATTTATTTTTGTAACAGCAAAATTTTGTAGAGCATTTGTAAAGGTTTAATTATAAACTTACAGAAGAAAGAAAAATTTTAAAATATTTTAGAAAGAGTATGTACCCCAAGTTTTGCCATTGTCTTAAAATTTGGGGGGAGGGGCACCTGGGTGGCTTAGTTGGTTGAGTGTCTGACTCTTGGTTTCAGCTCGGGTCTTACCTCGCGGTTCATGGGTTGGAGCCCCATGTTAGGTTCTGAACTCACAGTACAGAGCCTGCTTGGGATTCTCTGTCTCCTTCTCCCTGCCCCTCCCCTGCTCACTCGCTCTCCCTCTCTCTCTTTCTGTCTCTCTCAAGAATAAATAAACTTAAAAAAAATAAAGTAGAATGGGGGTAAGATCTATTAAGAAAAAGAAACTTATGTAGATGAGGGTAGAACCCATGCCCCTTTACCTCCTACATTTCTTTCTACTTAAAGTTACAAAATCGTGCCACGAAATTTCATGTCAAGAAAACAAAACCAGTAAGTAAATGTTGGAAGTTTTCCTGGACCTCATTGAGACTCCTTGAACAGAAACTAGGTGAATGATAGTTCTTTCGTGCCCATGGCATGGATGTTAATACTCAACTTTTCTGGATGGAAGAGTTTATGAGGATTACTGGGGTAAAAACCCTGCCTCTTCTACAGGAGAGCTTCCAAAGAGTTACTCCCTTTACTAAGTCGGGGAAAAAAAAATCTTCTTCATTGACTGTTACATGCATAACTGAGAAGGAGGCAATGGGTGGGGTTTTGGAGACAGGGGCCGACTCCAGTAAGGGTTACATTTAAACATTGTGTGACCAGGCTTGCCGTGTACAGGTAGACTGTTGCTGAGATGGGGACATGTGGCTCAGGACAGAGCAGGGACTGAGTTCCAGTCTGTTTGTAGGCCTTGGCCTGACACAGGGCGTCAACCGCCCAGGAAGAGAAACTGAACCCATCATTTTTCTTATTCACATAGAGGTACCTGTCTGTGATGGCTCTGTGAATGACCAGTATAAGGCGGGAATTGAAAAGACATGATTTAGGGCCCCTGGGTGGCTCAGTCAGTTAAGCATCCGACTTCAGCTCAGGTTGTGATCTCATGGTTTGTGGATTTGAGCCCTGTGTCAAGCCCTCTGCTCAGAGCCTGGAGCCTGCTTCGGATTCTGTGCCTCCATCTCTCTGCCCCTCTGCTGCTCTCTCTCTCTCTCTCTCTCTCTCTCTCTCTCTCTCTCTCTCTCTTTCAAAAATAAATAAACAGGAACATTTAAAAAAAAGACATGATTTACTTAAAATATATCTGCATTCAAATGAGTTCAGATCATTGTGAGAGCAAACACTTATTCCAGTATGGTTGCTATCGGGCAAGGCTGGTCTTCAACTTAAGTTTGGAATTCGCCTTCAGACTCCCAGGCACACTCTTGAAAATTGTTTGAAAAAAAATGTTTCTTTTTAAAACTTTAGAATATGTTTAATTTTTGCATATAAGGTTATGGGAGTACAGTTTTGTAAATAAGGTGGGAAATACTTTTTGGGGGATAAAATGTTGGACAATGAAGGGGCACCTGGGTGGCTCAGTCGGTTAAGAATCCAGCTTCGGCTCAGGTCATGATCTCGCGGTCCGTGAGTTCGAGCCCCGCGTCGGGCTCTGTGCTGACAGCTCAGAGCCTGGAGCTTGCTTCAGATTCTCTCTCTCTCTCTCTCTCTCTCTCTCTCTCTCTCTCTTCCCCTCCCCAGCTCACACTCTGTTCTCTCTGTCTCTCAAAAATGAATAAATGTTAAAAAAAAATTGGAAAATGAAAACAAACCCAGTAAATTTAGTAATTAAGCTTTATTTAAGAGCTTAATTAGCCTTGATGAGTGTTTAAAACACAGATTCAAATAATAGAAACACTGAAACAAATATGCTATATGTACAAGAAAATAAACCACTTACATTTAGTTCTAAGTGAAGGAAAGCTCTATAACAAGGTAATTTCCAGAAGCTTAATGCAAACTTCCCCAATTTTCATGAGCCTCGGGCTGCTCCTTCTGTTGCCATTCAGAGAGATGGGATCCTGTGTATGACCTTTGTAGACTGTTACTATAGCACATGGAGTGGTTTGGAGGCATTACTGTGTCCCGACACCACGTCCTACTTTAAGCCTAAAGAGGTGTCTTTGGGCAAACTGCTTTTTGTGCCTTGAATTATTGTTCATTTGAATCGTTGATCATAACTACTTTTGGAGGAATAACGAAAACTGATGTTATCAACAGGGCATCCATGTTAATATAATCATTGGTGTTTATTTAGTTATTTAGTCATTTAGTTAGTTTGAAGAAGTTAACTATACACATCGTCTTGCCCACTCCTGGTAGGCTGGGGAATTCGTATTCCAGTTTAACAAATAAGACTTTAAAGGGCAGAGAGAGCAAAAGTTTACCCCAAAATCACGTATGGCTAATAGCTAACTGTGCTGGGACTCAAGCTGGGTTTTCAAGGAGTAGGTCCAGTGATACTTGTGTAATACCAGACTGGTGACAGATACTTTTTTAAAAAGGGCAGTTCTTGGGGTGCCTGAGTGGCTCAGTCAGTTAAGTGACTGGCTCAGCTCATGATCTCACGAATGGTGAGTTTCAGCACGGAGCCTACTTGCGATTCCCTCTTCCTCTCTCTCTGTCCCTCCCCTGCTTGTGCTCCTTCTCTTCTGTGGCTGAGTGCTGTCTCCCTTTCTCCCTCTCTCTCTAAAAATAAATAAACTTTAAAAAACAATAATAAAAAAATAAAAAGGACAGGGGCGCCTGGGTGGCGCAGTCGGTTAAGCGTCCGACTTCATCCAGGTCACCATCTCGCGCTCCGGGAGTTCGAGCCCCGCGTCAGGCTCTGGGCTGATGGCTCAGAGCCTGGAGCCTGTTTCCGATTCTGTGTCTCCCTCTCTCTCTGCCCCTCGCCCGTTCATGCTCTGTCTCTCTCTGTCCCAAAAATAAATAAATGTTGAAAAAAAAATTTTTTTAAAATAAATAAATAAAAAGGACAGTTCTCTTTCAGGTAAAGAGAAAATATATCTGAAGATGAAGTGCTTTCAACAAAGGCGAGGCTAACATTTTATTAATTTCATATCTACATACCCAGAAACACAACATTCTAGTATTCTAATAGTAATAGTTTGAATAATCTTATTGCATATGTGCGCTACAATTAAAGTGGTTTATTACCTAATCTCTGTAATTTATGCTCTGTAAAGAAAGAGATACACTGGTACCTGAATAATTATTCTGGTCTCTGGAACAAAATTAAAATTTTTTCCCCAAACCTCACCAATTAATCTTTTGTTCTCATTTGAGAAGGTATTGTTTCTATATAGCCTTATGCTTGGATTACAATTTAACTTTCTGAGCACTATACCAGAAATTAGATACATAAATCTTATTGCTAGGTATTGAGGCTGTGCCTTTAGTTTGTTTCAAAATTTTGAGGTCTATATAGCAGCTTTACTTGATTTAAGATCCATCTGTTAACACAGGCTTCCCCCCCCCACCCCCGTCCAAATCCTGTGAGAGATGAACACAGTTTTATTGTTATTCTTTTTCCACTTTGGTACAGTTTATTTGACCCTTTACAGATAGGGACTTTAAGCTAAATATGAAAACATGAGTCTTTTAGTACTTAAGAGTTCTGAAAGGAAAGCCAAATGGACCTTCTCCAGCATTAGCTAGCTCTCTGACCTCTAGCACATTACTTACATTCTCTTACACTTTGTTTGCTCATCTGTAAAATGGGGATAATTACAGCCTCTATCTCCAGTAAGGAGTAAGTGAGGTGATATCGGCGATGTGCTTAAAGCAACCTCTCCCTCACTCAGAAAACATTGAATACTTGTGTAGTTATTATTGTGATTGTTTGAGACCAAAATCAAGGATAAAGGGAAAAGAAGAACTGAAAGGAGGAGGGTGAAGTAAGCTCCTGTGGTCTTTATGGAGGGTAGGCTCAGAGGACACAGGAGTGTTGACAACAGAGGTGGGAAGTGGGTGGCATCACCAACCCGTTGGGGTGAGAAGTTCCTTTTTATTTACCCATTCAGTTTTTCAAAACTCTCTTCTCTTTTTGTGTCTCCATTCCCCCTTCTTCCATGTGACAGTCTCCATTCTTTTTAGATTTCATGTCAGCTAGCTATTGAGTACCTTAAAGCCATTCTAAGGGAATATATATATGTATTTTATTTATATATTTATATATATATAAATATATATATAATATATATATTATTTATATATGTATTATTTATATATATTTATATATAATTATTTCCCTAGTTCAATATATATAGAATATATTGAATATATATTATATTGAATATATATTGAATATATTGAATATATTGAATATATATTATATTGAATATATACATATATATATTGAATTCCTAAAGATAAAAGCGAAGCTCTTCCTGAAGCAAGTGCATCTTACTATGATATTTTAAATTGCTTTTCAGTGCTCCGTGGCTCTGGTAGGTTCTAGGTCTGATACATCTGCCTCCATTCCTCTCCCAGCTGCCTAGTTCAGATGTGTGTCCTGCCCGCCTCATTCCTCAGGGCCATAGCCCTTGGTAGAAACAAAGCACCACCTCGGACCGTTACCCAAATGGAGAACTGTTGATGACAAGGCCCATTGGATATAGCTAGTTGACTGTGGTTATGCACAACTTGTTATTTTTTAACTAAGTAAAAATCCCATATGCTACAGTGCTTTAATCTCTTATCTTCATGAGAACACAAATCTCAAAAGAGCTATTTCTGTTTTAGGCCCTGCTTGAATTTCTCCAAAGGGTTATAGACAATAGAGACAAAAATAAGATGACAACTATGAATGTAGCAATGGTCATGGCCCCAAATCTCTTCATGTGTCACGCACTGGGTTTGAAGTGCAGCGAACAGCGAGAATTTGTAATGGCAGCTGGGACAGCTAATATCATGCACTTATTGATTAAGTATCAAAAACTTCTGTGGACAGTAAGTATATCTCTTTAAGTTCTGATAATGAGTGATGATATCTAGATTCTAAAGACTTTTTATGGTTGTATTTTCCTTAAAAAGCTAACCAACAGAGGTGATTTCAAGTGCAATTAAAAAAGTGTCTATACGCCTGAAATTGATAGAACACTGTAAGTTAACTACACTGAAATTTAAAAAAAAATGTCCACTTACCGAATCTCCGTTTTTAAAATGCCAGGAATGGTTCGTTATTTCAATTTGGTAACTTCTAAAATATTTTCTTTTTGCTATTGTAATTTCTGAGAATCATTTGTTCCTAGATTGTTGCTAGATAACTCTCAGCATTTATTGGTGAGTTTTTCTTTCCCTTTTAACAAGTGAGGCTGGCTAGTTATTAGAAGGGACTGCAGGTTAGCTAAGGGCTAGGTTGTTGACAGGTGGCTGCTAAAGGGACCAACCATCAAGGTGGTGGCCCTTAATGCCAGTCACCTCATGTCAGGCAGTCTCTAATTTTGGCATATGAGGCATAGAAGATACCCACTATGACCTTGAACTTTACCAAGCCTCTTTCTGAACCTTACTTACACAATGGGAGGTAAGTTACTTCATGTGGATGCTGTGTCCTCATAGTGAATGAGAAAGAGATGCATTTTTGCATATTTCATGAAGAGTAAGTGTAAAATGGCATAGTCTTATCAAATAGACAAAACCTTTACTTCTCTCTAAATTTAAAAAATAATTATTTCCATAGTTCAAAATTGTGCCATTTCTTTTTCCTTCCCAAACTTGATTTTATTTCTCCATAGATTCCCAAGTTTATTGTCAACCAAGTGAGAAAGCAAAATACTGAAAATCATAAAAAAGATAAAAAAGCCATGAAGAAACTGCTGAAGAAAATGGCTTATGACCGAGAAAAATATGAAAAGCAAGATAAGAGTACAAACGATGTAAGAAAAACTTGAAGATGTGTATTTATGCAGATTTCAGTATTGTTTTTACTTATCATACAAGAAAAGTGTTTCATATGTTTCTGTAGTATGACTTTCTATCTGCTTCGGGGCCTTGGTACTACTTAGAAGGTAAAGGCCTCAATAATGGCAACTGTGTTTCTACTAATGATCAGTATTAACAGTTGCTCAGGTGTTGATGACTCAGCATATGAGCTGTTAATGGGAAACAAAGGAAAAGAGCAAGACGAGAGTGTCTCAACACCCACCCACCCACACAAAGGACTCTGCAGACTCCAGTTGCCCACTGAATGTGTAATCTCTACTGAGGGAAGAGTCCCTGTTATGAATCACTGATCTTTTGTCTTCAATTTCCTCATCTGTAAAATGGGGGAAAATAACCCAGACAAACAGACCAATGGTTGGTTATGACCAGGATCCTTCCTGGACTTCAGTAAGTACTTAAAGGCTCTTAATTGGATCCCTGGAAGAATTTGGTGAGATTTATGTTGGAATGAAGGAAATTAAAATGTTCACAAAAGAAATTTCTAAATACGAGCATTTATAAACTGCTGTAAGAATATATTAAGAATTGGGTTTAAGATAAGAAAATATACTACATGAAAACACATTGGAGAAGTGAGTTATCAAAGCTCTAACTTAAGATCATGATGTGAAAGGGTTTCTATTGTTCTGTTTAAGGTGGAGACACCCTGCACAACCAGCACCACCACTGAGGTTACTCAGTTACATGCTGACATCTTGTGGAATAATGTGGAAATGCAATTATCAGCCTTTGATTTTTTTTGGCTTTGGCCTACTTAGGGATCTAGTAATTGTGAAAAAATATATGTACGTATATATGTGTATATATATATTCTATATTTATAGCTCTCACCACTATGAAATAACAATTTTTGGCATTAAGTATTTTTGGTCAAATTTTAAAGTATCTTTAAGAACATAAAATTTAATTAAGGGGAATTGTAAACAGTGTTCAATTTTTTTTGTGTGTGGGCGGGGGGGAAGGCTTGATCTTCTAGATTAGAAAGGGTTTTTGACATTTCATTTTTGTTTAATTGAGAACGTTTACTCTAACACTGTTACAAATATGTGAATATCATTTTGCTTTGTAGCTCTGCTTATTCATATTAACTCAGGTGACTTCATAGCCCTGTCTTTTTTGTAAGGTGGTTATAATGTGATTCTCTGAGTTATGTTATATATCCAAGAAAGCATTTATGCTGTACCTTTTAAATAATCTTTAGGGGCACCTATGTGGCTCAGTCAGTTGAGCATCCAACTTCAGCTCAGGTCATGATCTTGCAGTTTGTGAATTTGAGCCCCACACTGGACTCACTGCTGTCAGACTGTCAGTGCAGAGCCCGCTTCAGATCCTCTGTCCCCTTCTCTCTGCCCCTGCTAAAGCTTGCGCTTTCCTAAACATAAATGTTTAAAAAAAAAAACTAAATCTTTAGATAAAAATTTAAAAGTTGTGTTTTGGAGATGAAACGTTTACATGATTTTGTTATTTACAAAGGATTTGTGTTAACTTGGATTTCTTTAGTTTGTTCGTTGAGTTAATTAGTTGAGAGTTGGTCTGAGAGTTATCTCTGTACTCGTTAGAAGCCATATTGTCATTTTAAGACTTAGGATTTAAATCTTCGTTTTATTATGTATTAGCTGTTAGTCTTTCTGAGTTTTTGTTTTCTGAGAAATTCAGTGGTTCTTCTAATAAAATGTCTCCTTAGTACCAAGGAAGTGGTTTACATCTTTAGGAATTTGAATTTATCCTGAGTGAAATGGGGTCATTGCAGGGTTTGAGCAAAAGCTTGAAAATCTGTGTTTTAAAATGTTCCCTTGGTGGGGGGCGGTGCATGGGTGGCTCAGTCAGTTGAGCGTCCAACCCTTGATTTTGGCTCAGGTCATGATCCTGGGGTCCTAGGATTGAGCCCCGGGTTGGGCTATGTTTTGAGTGTGGAGCCTCCTTGAGATATTCTCTCTCTCTCTCTCTCTCTCTCTGTCTCTGTCTCTGTCTCTGTCTCTGTCTCTGTCTCTGTCTCTGTCTGTCTCTGTCTCTGTCTCCCTCTGCCTCCTTCTGTCCCACAACTGCTTGTACACTTTCCCTCTCTCTTTTTCAAATTAAAAAATCTATTTTAAAAATAATAACTAAAAAATAAATGTTCCCTTGGATGATTGTGTTGAGAATAGACTATAGGAGAGTCAACAGAGATGGGGAGAGGATCACATCTTAATCCAAGTGAGAGACCAGGATGTTAGTCCTGGAGAGGAAGTGGTCAGATTCTGTGTTTTTTGAAGTTAGATCCATTGGAATTTCTTCAAGTTGAAATGATAAGAGTTGTAGGAAAAGGAAGTAAAAGATGACTGCAAGGTTTTGGCTTGAGAAATTAGAAGGCTGGAATTGTCCTCTTGATGGGGGGATCACAGTTTTCAGTCTGGGTGTGTTGAGTGTAAGATGTGTATTAGATAAATAAGGAGGAATGTTTGGGTGTGTTTAGTGGGAAGGTTAGGGCATAGTGGCCAGTGAGGTGCATGGAGAGCAGGGGCAGAAGGAAGGCCAGGATCCGTCACTAGGGGGAGCCTGCTTCTATTCTGAGGAAAGCTGTGACCACAGGAGTTACATGATTATGTGTAAATTTTAAAATAGTTGCTGTAAGGGTGCCTGGGTGGCTCAGTTGGTTGAGCGTCCGACTCTTGATTTCAGCTCAGGTCATGATCCCAGAGTCATGGGATTGAGACCCGTGTCAGGCTGTGTGCTGAGCATGGAACCTCCTTAGGATTCCCTCCCCTCCCCTCCCCTCCCCTCCCCTCCTCTTTCTGCCCCTCTCCCCCCCACTCATGTGCACTTTCTCTCTCTAAGGTAAAAATAAATAGCTGCTGTGATGTCAGGTGAAGGAAAGATTGGAGCAGTGAAAAATGGGAGGTTAGTCAGGAGATGCCAGCTAATTTCATTGCTGATAGGAGTACATAAATTGGTAGAATTCCTCTGGAGAGCAGTTAGCATGTGGCAGAGGCCTGAAAACCATGCTCTTCATTGTATTCAGAAATTCCTTTAAAGGGAATAATAACATAGCCATGTAAATAGTTATGCTTAAGTTCATTGCCATATTCCGTATACTGACGAGAATTAGAAGTAATCCACAAGGGTGGAGATGATTGGTTACATGAGTTATGGCATATCTGTGTAATGAAATACCATGGGAATACAAGTGTATATATATGACATCAGAAGATACTCATAATATGTTGAAGAAAAGTTACAAATTCATGAATATTGCCATAGTTTTAAGGGGTAGTATTATAATTTTGAATGCTTGCCAGAGATCAGGCATGGTGCAGTTTCATTGAAGAATGAGGTGCAGTTGTCTCATTTTTTACTGACAAAGTGAGGATCAGGGATCTTAAATAACTTAAGCTTATCTAAAAAGGAAATGGTAGGGCTGGAATTTGAATCCAAATCTATATATCCTTAAATCTGGGTGTCTTTACTCTTATTCTCTATTTCTTTAATATCACAGAAAAATTCTGGAAGGATATATATCCTAGTCTAGGGCTAATGTGTAGTAATACAATGAAAATGTAATAGTGCCATTATTTATTTTTTTAAGTTTATTTATTTTGAGAGAGAGGGAGCACATGTGGGGGAGGAGCAGAGAGAGAGAGAAGGAGAAAGAGAATCCCAAGCAGGCTCTGTGCTGTCAGGGCAGAACCCAGTGTGGGCCTCAATCTCATGAACTGTGAAACCACGACCTGAACTGAGATCAAAAGTCAGAGGCTTAACCAATGAAGCCACCCAGCCACCCCTATACAGCCACTATTAACATACGTTTAATATATAGCTTTTATCATAGTCCTCCTGGTCAATGCCAACACCCAGCAGAAGGATTGGAAGGAAGTATTAAATGTGAGCCAGAATGACCCACAAGATGTAGAAACTAATTGGATATGAGGAGTGTAGAATGAGGAGGAATCTAGAAAGACTCAACTGATTTTACTTTGGGTAATTATATCACTGAGTTAAAGCATTAAGCAAAAGGAGCACACTGTTGATGAGGTAGTCAGTTTTTGACGTTTGTAGTTGACTTGCCGGTGTGACAGTACTTTGGCTACATGGGCTGGAAGCTCAGAGGGCAGCCAGAGCTGGAGGTGTGCTTTTGGGATTAGCAGAGAGATTGCCGTTAAAGCCAAAGGATCCAGTATTTTAGCGGTGGGCCATGGAAGAGGAGCTGGTAAAAGAGACCAAGAAATGATAGGAAGCCAGAGAAAGTTAAGATTATAGCATCTTAGAGCCTCACGAGGAAGAGTCAAGTAGGTAAAAGGACGTGGTTAGTAGTGCGATAGAGGCCGAGTAAGGTTAACATTGGATGGAGGTCCAGAGCGTTTTGCATTTGAAAAGTCAGTTCTGACTTTGTAGGCCGTTAAAAATCATCACTTTCTGATAGCCTTCAACTTGCAGTTGCAACTGATGTCTCACACAAATGCATGCACACATGCGCCAACCACATCCCATTCTCGAACTCGTGTCGTGAGGATATAGCTCTAGTTCTGCCAGCAGTGAGACATTAATGACAAATCATTTTCTCTCTCTGGGTCTTAATTTCTTCTATAAAATGAAGGGTAAGACCAGATTAATAGTATCTCATCCAAAGTATGTAATAAGAGCATTTGTGGTATCATTTTTTACAAAACCTGACTGGCTCACTCCCTGGACTCACTGAATCAGAATCTCCCAGAGCAGGACCTTGGCATGTGTATTGTACAAAAACTGTAAGTGTGATTTTTCCCCCCCATTTGGTATTTATGTGTGTGTAAACGTATATTTAATTGTTTGTTATGGGATTTTTCTTACTGTTCATGAAAACAGCCATAAACCCATCTCCAGTGATCAAACCTATTTTTCTAATCTCGTTCCATCCTGTCTCTCACACTTCTCCTTTTTGTTTTTTTAAGGAAATCATAGGCATTCCATCATTTCACTC